ACGTCAGCACCATCAGAAATTTGTCATACTTCTACAAGTAGCCCAACTGGTGAGCGCGTTCAAATCTTAGATTATAGAAAGTGAAAATGGATATAAATATAAAATCTCAGGGCCCTTTAATTTTCCAGAGGTCAGCGCGCTGCAAGCACGCCCGCACAATTTTTAAGTTTACGGGACTTGGGCAAGAAAAAATGTTTAAAGATGACTATAGATCGACAATGAATGATGGTTGATCCTGTAGTATGTGTTTGTACACATCCAATCAAACAAACCTCAAAAGTGAAAATAAATGAGAGTCTCTGATATGAAGTTAAAATAATCTTCCTTCTTGCGGAGAAATCCTGGCGTAAAAAGGTAGTCGATGACTAGACAATGCCCTACAGTCAACACAAGGCTATTAACTCGCTTTTTAAGCCTCAAAGAAGCCAATATTCTGGCAAATTAATGGTCTGTATATCCTCCCGTCCCCCTGGAGTTAGAAAACTTTTAAAAATGAAATTCCGGGTGGTGATCAGGATTATGGGAAAAAACCTAACAAATCATAATGAACAGTGACAAATTTGTTGCAGGTAGGATTAAAAGAACAATTTGAATATGATGAGGGTATCTTAGCGTATATCACAATTATTTTCAGCCTCTGAAATCTCTTTTCGCGGCCTTCGATAAACTTTAAGTCCACCCCCAGGTAATCTCCGAGGGAAGTTTTCATATCTACAATCTTTCCTTTTCGTCATCAGCAGTCTGTAATTAACATGGTCCTGGAGACAACTATAAACTGAAATAGCTATATCGTGTTTAAACTTGAAGCTATGTTTCGACTGCTTGCACGTAAAATCCGCCTTGAAAAAGGGGATAGGATAAATGTTTCTTTGGCCTGATGTTGTTTCCCAAGTAGTGTGATCAACTGAATTGAGATGAAGTACACGGCATGTGTGTGTTTTTAGTCTTTTATTGAAAAACAGCGCAAGTTGAATCGCCGGTAACCATCTGTATGCATGCGACGGATATCACTCCGTCACTTGGGAGTTGAATAATTAAGCTTGTTAAAAAAAGAAATGAATAAGAATGTTTTTCTAAGTAATGAGAATATTCGCCATTTCAAACACTTTTCTGTTATTAATAAATGAGCTATATAGTTCTCGACAACGTGGAAAATGCTTTCAGTTTTAAGGATCCACTTCACAATATTCGCTTTTTAACGAATATTGTGAAGAAACTTGAGATAATTGATTATAAGAGTGGACTAATATCAAAGATCAAACTTACAAGAGAAAGCCACAGCGAAAGGAGAGAAAAATGTTGAAGTTTTATGAAGATCGAAAAGATATCTGACTGACAAAGGTTCAAAATGACAAAATTGAACAACGGAAGTAACATTTGATAATAAAAATTAACGGTAAAAAACTACGACGTTTCGAAGTCTGCATGACCTCATTATCAAGTAAAATGTTAAAACTGATATAAAATTGTAGCTCATTTTACCGTTAATTTTTATTATCAAATGTATTTCTAAACATTCTCTGATTGGAAGTAACATTGTTACAGAAATAAAGAAACTTTGGCAGAGCTGTTCTCTTTAGTGCTGAACTTTCTCTTCTATCCTCTTATGGTGAACATTGTTACAGAAATAAAGAAACTTTGACAGAGCTGTGCTCTTTACAGGTGAACTTTCTCTTCTATCCTCTTATGGTGAACATTGTTACAGAAATAAATAAACTTTGACAGAGCTGTTCTCTTTACGGGTGAACTTTCTCTTCTATCCTCTTATGGTGAACATTCTTTATCTTCTAATTGGAGGATAAGGCAAACGAAAAAATTGAATTTTTGGGTTGATATATATGCTCTCTTATAAAAGAGACATTGTCTCGATAGTTTCTACCTCTCTTTTTGATGTTGCTGCTGTTTTTTGTCGCGGTCAACCTTATCTCAAGACTTTCGGTTTAATGTCTTGGAAAGTACTTGGTTTTTTTTGCAGGAATTCTTACTCATACTTATTTAAAAAGCGTGAAAAAGGAGGATGACAAAAAAATAAAATCTAGTGATCAATTCAATTACTCAAAAAGAGCATTATGAACCAAAACATTTTCTTTATTTTTCATCGCTCAAAATGATAAATCGAATTCTGAACAGAGACCACAAAACCACCCTCCAATAAGCTAAGTTTTAATCCTTATCACCGTTCGTCTCAAACTTTGGTTATGGTAAGCAACAGTTGTATTGGATGATCGCTAGATATAGCAGAAACTCTCAGATAATGGCTCAAGTACTAAGTATTTGCAGTTTAGTGTAACATCCGTTTAAAAATGATACTTTGTTGTAATTGTGTTTTGATATAAAGGTCGTAGAATCATTTCATATACCATGTAAAAGGGGCCACAGAATTCTCAGCAGGAGTGACTCTTGTTGGGTGCTCACTAAACTCAGTTTTTCGTTTTTTGTTTTCTTTTGGCTTTGAGCCAATTGTATAAAGCAAGAAAGCTTTAAATAAACTTTTTACTCATGGTTTTTTTTAGCAATCAGATGTATAAATAAAGTCAGAAGCAGATAAAGCATATTGACCACATATTGAACAAATGCAACAGAGAGCAGACTGCTTCTGCTCCCCCCACCATGGGAGAGATAGAGAAATTCGTTCAAAAGTTCAAAGTGTCAAATAATAACTAATTACCCACGACTTCATATCAACCGAAAAAAAATAGTCCGATCCCTGAGTGACACAGTTTTGGTTTCAAAACCTTCAGAAGTAAAATATTGTTTTGAGCCTGACACAATCAATGGTCTGAATGTGTCGCAAGATCCAAGTAACTGACAAATTGTTCCAAGGCGACGCACTCAATTTGCAATGGAGTAGTACAGAGACAAAGCTCTATAAAGTGTGCTTTTACTCGACGAAAGAACACAAACAAATCGACCTAAGAATTTTTAATTTTTCGAGATTCGGCAATGGGCAAGTCGTTGAACTGATAGATCCTAACTTCTCAGTGGATTAAGATTTCCTACGTCTGCGTTGTAAGGGTATAGAGCAGAGTGGAGCTCTCAACATCATCTGTTCTTTCGAAGCTTGTATGCTCATTATTTAAATTCAACTGAAATTTGCCTGCCGAGAAATGTTATCACCCGGATTTATTCATTGAAGTGCCGTACCCTTGAGGTACTGTGGGCGTGTTCAGAAAAATCCACCTTTGAGGGTGAATTGAAGATAATATCCAATGATGGTAACTAGGGACCTTAAGCCGACCATGACGGCGACGGCAACGGGACGTGGAAAAATAAAAGATCTTATTGGCAGAACAACAGCTCAGCGCGTGTATTTTAAAACTTAGTACATTTCATAGCCATCCTTTGCAAAACAACAAAGTGAAATTACAAAAATTTGCGTCGTTTACGAACCGGAACCGCGACGGCAAATTATTGTAATTTCCATTTGGAACTCAACGCTACTTTTATACGTTATTTTGAGGTTTAGTTGTGGTGCCGTATGAGATGGTAAACACATGCAGCCATTTTCGAAATTCTAATTAAAAGTAGAAATTCATTTTTTAATCGACGTCTTCCTTAGCGTTGCCGTCCTGACGGCACAAGTAAAGCAATCTCGGCCCTTAGTTGGGCCTATGGATATAGGCAGATTCATGCTGACGTCATTGTTTACTTTTTTGCTCATTTGCATACGGCTTTGCGTAAAGAAGGAAGCATGTTAGATACAAATTGACTTCAGGCAGCTAAAGAGCAAGAAAACCTTAGTACATGGTGAAATTTTTAGCTCTTTGGGTGTAATATTCAAGGAGAAATAGTCCATCAAAAACTGCAACATTTCTGGGTGGCAAAAGCGCTAATGAGCTCATACATTCTATGTAAAATTTTGAGTTTTTAAACCCGTGTTGCACAAAAAGTATTCAATGCATCAGGCTCGTATTCATTGGCCGAGTTAATCGTACTTTGACCTTTCGATATTCAGAACTGATTTATTTTTAGCTCCATCAGAAACTGAATTGCTTATGCTAATGAGGCAAATATTGTAAACAAGGATTCCCCTATTGACCCAAATAACAGAGGTCAAGCACACAAAAAAAGCAAGTAAATTTCAAATTATGACAAATGCCATTTTCTAATCTCTAATCGGACTATGCTAATTATCATATAGTTTTGTAAGTTCGCTGCTAACTGAATCGCTTGATAATCTTCCTAAAGAGAAGTGTGAATGCATGAGAGACGGTAATCAGAAACTTTGCTGAAAACGATTAGCCCTCATTCCCCAAGTTCAGACTAATAGCAGTATGTCTACATATCGCTGCATTGTTTAAAATATCTGCTTTTGCCGTTTTTTGCTTTTTGGCTTTAGAAGTGATAGAAATAATGAACTTAAAATAACGAAAAAATGTTCAAAGAAACTATGTTCATGATTCATGAGGTGCTAAGATCTTAGTTTTAGTGATTGGAAATTTGAAAAGCTTGCATTGCTGGTGACAAATTTTTTTCTTTTCAGTCTTTCCATCACTTGGTTTAACCTCTACGCTGGAAACTTGTATTAAACCTTAATTATTATAGACGGAGTAATATCGCAGCACTTATGGCAGGATGCAATGAACGTAACCTCACCCCAATTTAGACTGGCACTGAATATTGATGCATTCAAAGAAAACTATTTCCTTACACCAGAGAAATCGTTTTTTCCCCGTTTTAAGAGGGGCTTTTTGGCACTATCAATAACCCTGCGTCCGCAAGTAGACATATCGCATCCTGTCCCTCAAGTAAATAAATAAATGAATCTTGGAATCGAAAATTAAAAATTTTGAACTTGGAGAGTTCAAAACTTAAGCGTTTCAAATTTACCCCTATGATCTGTACTTAAACTCAGCTTGTGAAGACGTTTTCCATTTTTACAAAAAAAATATAGCTCGTGCCTTCATAAAGATTATTTTTCCTGTTGAAAAATTCGAAGGTACTGTCAGTAGTAATGTTCGTAAATTAAGACAATTTCTTCATTAAAAACAGCAACGCCATGAAGATATCATACGTCGATCAATTCGAAGCTTCAACATCCCTCCTCCCTTGCATGGCATTTGAACTTGTGAAGATCGATTTTTTTAAAATACCACCTCCCGGGCCAAACGTTGTGTTCAAATGCCCCACCCAATTTTTCAAAGGCAAAATCAACACCGTGACTTTCTACATATTGACCAAGTTTTAAAACCTTGTCGACCTCTTCTTCTGAGCCATTCGCTCGCGAAACATAGCTTTTTTACCTTAAACACTTCCATATTTAAAGGTTTATTACTTGTATTCGCTGGAAAAACTTGACACTTTCGGTTCAAAATCCTCACCCCAGCCACCCCCAAGGCACAGACTGTCAAATGCCCCTGGGCTGCTCAGGGAGTGGGGGGAGGGGAGGGTTGATCGACGCATTAATTGAAAACTATGGAATGAAAATATTTGCCATGTATTTGTAAATATCAAATAAAATAACTTGGCCAGACGTCAGCTTAGTAGAATGTTGAGGAATTCTGACGTTATCTTTTGGCTAAGCTATGGATGAATCCTCTGTTATTCACTTTTTTCGATCTAAAGGTGATGAAATATCAGGTTCGCCCTTTTTTCGCTTTTCATGGACCTTACTTTGTATCATGCCATGCAACGTACGAACGACCAACATCCAGTCGATTTGGCCACACGGCAGATCAGTAAGCATATTTATTATCTAACTACACTCCGTAGCGTACAAATAACGCCCAAGATGAGTACAAATATCACGCGGTATTTGTGGAATGGCTGGCAAATTTTGACCCAAATTTAGTAGATAAATCGAACGAAAAAAAGCAGTTAGACGACAATGAAATTTCATCATTTAGAAATAGTAACACGACAACGTCCCCAATTCCGTTCCGCTTCGCATACGTCTGTCACGCACTCCCTGTAAATAAATATCTGCGAAAATCGCCGCACTGAAATAACAATTTAGCGTGTTGGATAATAAATAACTTATTAGAAGTTTTGGTATGTCGTATCGCTGGGTATTTTTACTCGTTATTTCTATTTTGACTCGCCCTGTACGGGTTCGTCAAAATACGGCACAACTGGTAAAAATACTCAGCGATACTACACAACAAAAAGTCTAACAAGATATATGTATTCAAGTTGTAAATTGAGGACCGTTATGTTTTCTTTAAAAAGCAATTCAAAGTGTCAAAAAAAGGTTGTGGATTTAATTATTTTTTCTTAGGTCGAACGATTTTTGATCATTTTGTGTGGAGTTTAATGAGTTAAGTGAGAACCTTTACGGTGCTCGTCAACCAACATGCATATTCCTTGTGGTCATAATTGACGTGCAACTAAAAGTATATGACATTTCATGTATCTTTTTTGGCAGAAATATGGACTTTTAAGTGACGTTACGTTGATTCTGTTATAGGAACAAACTTAAGTCTTACCTGCTTTTTAAAGCACAATGGCTCCGTTCGTTTCGAATACCAAAAGGCCTCGCTTACTGTGCTATTCTTAACATGTGTTCACGAAATGTATAGTCTTAGCGTTCTAGCGATTTTTTATTGGATTTGGCTTTTTACCGCGTTCTATTGTATCATCAGCCCTGGCAACATGTCAAAAACCTACCGAGACAGAAATACAAAAATGATCCGGCTGCAACTTATGGACTTGCTTTGTTTCAATTACTAAGGAATTAGCCTTAGTCATGCCTTCAAGCACAACTTTAGCTATGCCCTTGAAATTAAACTTTTAAGACGCTATGGCCTTCACCTTATCTTTCACTTTGATTTTCAAGCATATTTAGCCTCCATCACCTCCACCGCATTTTTGAAAAATAATAGTAAAACAACGAATTATCACCGAAAAGACGCTTTAGAAAGAAGCCTTGATTATTAAAAGAAGACGCTCTTTGCGTTGCTGACCATTGGAACAAGAAGATACTTTGCGCATGCGACATTACAGAAGAAAAATCTCAATAATGATAACTAACTAGTATGATAACTACAATGAGGATAATGATAATGTTAACGATGATGATTATAGTAACAATAATATGAGAGACAATAACAGAAACAAGGAGTGTGATGAGGATGATATTGATAACTAATAATAATGATATATTGAGTTGAAGGCATTAAAAACATTTGCAGTGCGGCCTGGCTAAGAAAGAAATATGAAGTAAGCTAAATAAGCGAAGTACATGTAAACACCGAACTTATGACTCTTATGAAGAAATGTCTACGATCCAATTGCTAAAAAATGTTGGTAGGAACTGAGCCACATAAGTCAAGTTTTGAGGCTGCCCATGCGAGAGCGACGTCTTGTCAACGAATACAACAACAACTTGGACTGTCTCATTTCAGCTTTTGTTGTTTTAATTAGCCTGCCCACTATCATTCTCGGTGGGCAGTAAGGTAATCGTTCAACGTGAGCATAATAAGATAATAGGGGGTTCACCACATGCACGTAGCAATACAAAACAGAAAGCGGGTTTATAAAGTTGAAAGAAGTTACTCTTCGAGATACTTACCAACTCACAAAAGCAGGACTATCGTTATTCGATATGACGATACGACAAGAAAATTTCCCAACTGCCATGGAAACTCTGAAAAAGAATGTACATTCACATTCAATATCACCTGCATTTCTTTTGACACATTTCTCTCATTTATATTTCATAACCAGAAGAATATATATTACTAAGTAAAACAGGGGTTATCCCGCGGCATACTGACCAGAGCTACACTCAAATGATTGTTAAATACTTTGCGTAGAGCTTCCACTTTGCAGCATTTATCAAGGTTAAGAAACTACGCAAATCTGTACTTAATATCAAATTACAGCGTTGCAGTAGGTAGAATCCCTTCCGAATAGTTTTAAGATTATTTTCATTCCTTTTATTGTTTTACAACCACAAGGCAGAATGTTCACAGTCGTAATCATTTGGTTCAGATCTGTTTGTTTCCTTTTTCCCCCTAGCGGTTAATTTTGGAAAATAATGCATTTTTCTATTTCAAATTTTGATAGACGTTTTTCTCAAAATAATGTTGTTGGTACTTTTTAGTGCATTTTGACTTTCGTGCAGAAACATTGCTCAAATAGCTTGAGCGCGCCAAGAGCACTTCTATTTCAGTCTTGGCTTCTAACAGTCTTGGCTTCTGTGTGTCTTCTATGTAAGCAGTGCTCGCAATGATCGGAAGGATGGCATCCTGATCCACTTACCTGTGGAAAAGCAACGTTGCAACTATTAATAGCAGCGCTGTACGGACCAAAAGTTATTTTAGTTCAGCTTAGGGCTTGTCAATGAATTTTGCATTAATCAAAAAGACGCTTGCAGTGTCCAAAGACGGGCGGGGATGTTTTCCCTTCGTGGGGTCAATTGGCGTTTGAATTCATATGACAAGATCAAGAGGTTGTGCCATAAACAACAGAAAGGGAAAGTATGGATTGATAATCTTAGGCCTAGGGAAATTAAGAACCATTTGCTTAAATTTTAATGCCCTAAGATTTCCCTCAGAGTTAACCAGTGTAGCGACAAGGGAAACTTTGGCTCTTCCTCGATATTTAAACCTCTAAGACTCATCAATAGCCTTGAAAAAGAAACAAGAAAAAAAACGAGCAAGAAAAACCAATGAACAGAAATAAGTGTAGGGACAATTACACCCGAACAAATGAATGATTAGTGACAATTGCTGCAATGCGACCAAGTGGAATCTGTCGTTCCAGATCCGGAACAAATCACGGCCGGAATATCTTTATCGTACGTTGCAGCACTTCAATGGAAGCTTTTATCTTCCTTGGCTACCGAAAGGAAGCAGATATTCAAGCACGTGTCATTTAATCCACTTTTACTGGCAATAAATAGGTTTCTAAAGTATGAAAACAAGATAAACGGTCTGAATTAAGAACACTAATTTTATCATAGACTAACTGAGATACTACGCGCGCCATGATTGGTCAAAAACCTTTCGTTTATTGCTCTAGTTATTTCTTATATATATAAAAATAAAAAAAGCAATAAACCGCACTTTCTCGGCGTAATAAACCACTTGGGATGTCGGGAGAACACCTGAAAAGTTCGGCTTTGGTTCGTGATTTACGAACTTTTGTCGTGCTCTCCCAACATCCTGCGTGGGTTATTACGCCGGTAAACCGATACAAGTTGCGGTCTGTTGCTTAAATATTTTTCCTACCGTTCACGGAAGGAAGTAGTGAGTCGGTTTCGGTTTAATAACAAGTTTATTCTTTTCATGCAACTTCTAACTATCAGCCCAAGGATACATCGCTTCCAATATATTATTTCCTGTGCTCTCTTAATCGCATTATCCCGCAGGGGTAAATTTTCAGTCATATTTGTTGCTGCCTCTCGTGATCTTCCTATAAATTTCACGGGGATCTTGTTCAGTACTATTAACAGGGAAGGTAATCCGCAGCCGGTGGTCGGATGTTGTTTTTATTAGCGTCTTTGTGAGATTTTTTTCTGTAGCGCCCGATTGTAATTAAAGGGCTCTTCACTTGATTGGTGAAGCTCAAAGAATGCCAAAAGAAGTTGTAATTGGCTTTCGGTGGCCATTCGCGGCTAAGAAATACCTTTGTACTTTCAAAATGAACAGGGTGGTTTGCTCGAATTTTCCTTACATCTTTAACTGGAATTTTAAAATTCAACATACATTCTTTTTTTTTTTTTAGTAATTTCCTTTGCAGTCCCTTCACTAAGATCGTAAATCAAAACCAGCAAAAGTAACTATAAATTATTTGAATACCACGCCACAAACATGTAACCCTTTTTGGTCATCCACCCCACTCAACTTAGCCTCCGTTTTCAATTCACCCTCGAGTTAACTACTTTAAAAAGCGGCCGTGGTGACTTCTCTTTATTTCTCACTGGCTCATTGGTCGAGAGTTCTTGTCAGTAAGAGTGCAGAAAATGCAAATGAGTACTCTAGTGCTTGTTCAAAATTGCATCAGCTTCTGTCGATCGTTAAATGGAACTGAGGTTCTTCCCTTCTTAGCAAATACGCAGTTAGGTCATGATGGAAAAGATTTGTAATAAGGCGATCTGTCGAATGGAAATTTCTATCGGTTTACTGGCGTGATAAACTACCCGGGATGTTGGGAGAACTCATGGGCTAGTGATTTACAACCTTTTCGAAAACTGTTACTTACATCTGCTTACTTACTTACTGTTACTTACATCTGCATCAATATCACTATTAATAGCACTATCATTATTATTTATCTTCGTTCTATTATTGCTTTTTATCGTGTCAGGTTTTACAGGTTTAAATTCCCCTGAAATTTTTATGCTCACACATTGTTTTTTTTAGTGAGATACACCGTTCTTTTGAGTTTGCCATTATGAGAAAAAAACATTTATCGCAGTTATGTATCATCTACGTACCGATTGATCAAAGACATGACGTCAAAATTTTCACAATTTCCATGATAAACTAGAGTATGATTGAAAAGTGTTACAATCTGTTATCTTAACGCTAAGTCCATACGACAGACCCTACAATCCTCCACACTTCATCCTATTCAATTTTAATCCTTTCTGTTAAAAGGCCAAATCAGATGGAGATTTGCTGGGCTATCCTCCCAGTATATCAAACTTGCTTGTCCAAATCTTCCGGGCCAACAGAAAAATACTTGTTACGCGATTTTCTGCCCTGTTTTTGACAACTAAACGACACATTTTCTCCACGGTTAGTATTTCTGTAAAAGAGTGGTTGACCCCCAATAACACACATATACATGATAACCTGGTTGAAAAATGATAAAAACCGGCAGGAAATGGAAGATATGCTTAATATGAAGGTTGATGTGAAAAGAGTGCGTCGATTAGTACACACTTACTTCTTTGAAATTTCAGTGTTAAGTGTAGGTCTTATCATATATCCTGAAAACTACTAGACTGGTTAACCTTAAGCGCGAAGTTTTCTAATGATGGTTCCAGGTTCGGAGAAAAGATAGACTTTAAACTTAGCAATCAAGTTAATGAAGTATTTTTTCTTTTCCAAAAGTATATTGGTCCGCCCGATATAATTATACATCAGTTTCGAATTAAGGAATGTGTGCCAATAGGCAGATGTTTCAGCTAAATTACAAGGTAAAAAGAAACATTTCTCTGGTCTATGATTTTTATGTCCAAATAACGCAGGGTAAACAAATTCAATTTAGCTATAGTTGTATGTATCCTTCATAATATCATATGTAGCAACGTTTTCAGAGAAGAGACCAAGAAAATTAGGCCGGACCGCCGCGTATGCATATTGGAGATCGAAGTAAGTTAAACATGATTATTCTTCTCCAAATGACACCCCTATTAGACTTAACCTTCTTATCAAGATCGAAAAACTCCAAGTTTGAGTAATAGACAGTCTTTTAAAAATCCTTATCCCTTTGATTGAGTTAATGTACACGATTTGCGAAAAGCACACGGCACATCTCCCCAAACCCAAGCCAAACAGTTCTGCCATAGGTCGACATCTTATATTGGCCATGTGATCATGTCATTAGAGAATATTGATTTAAAAGTGCATATTCCCACTGGAAGGTGAGTTTCGCATGCAATAGCGGACTTAACGTTCTTCCAAATTTCTCCCTGTCGTGGGCGTAGTCCTGCTATGTGCTTAGGCTAAAACCGGTTGGGACCTTGGCCAAGCGATTTGCATTTCCGTTTCATTACTTGTAAGATTAAAGAGAAACATATATGATCGTTACAGATTGTCTCAGTAGGGGGTTTTGCGAGTTAGTTCTTAATGGATATGCAAGTACGGTATTATCAAGCAAAGCCAATGTTTTCAGAATTTTTTTTCTTCAAATTACTTAAATCTCCTGAACTTCTTATGTGTGCCATTTTACTTCTGTCCATTTCTAGCCAAACTGGATCTTGTTATCTTAGAAAGAACGAAGAATATCTCCTTGCAAGACTGGGGATGGCTTTCAAATTTTTCTTTTTCTTTAATCAATTTTAAGTCCTCGATACATCACATTCGTCGCCCAGTTCGTGCCTGCTCAGGTTCCCTACCAAACTATTACACAGAACAAAATAATCTGGATATATCAACAAAGTTGAAATGGTAAATTATCCACCGTAACGATTACAAAAGCTGACGTTTCGAGCGTTAGCCCTTTCGAGCGTTAGCCCATTCGCTCCGACGAAGGGCTAACGCTCAAAACGTCAGCTTTTGTGATCATTACGGTGGCCAATTTACCATTTCAACTTTGTTGATATATCCAAATTATTTCGTTACGCCCACCGACGCAGCCCCAAACAGTTTCTTTAGAAACTATCAGCCTTTATTACACAGAAGATTACAGAGAGTTCTTTCAGAACAGCACGGAGAGGGGCACTGCCTTAGAGGTTTCTTTTTATTTTTATTCAAAGCGTGCTGATTTAAGAGCCTATCAGTGAGCGCACATAGCTGCACTTTCAACGTTTCGAGGTGTGCTGTTCGATTACCTTTAACCCAAGGTGAAGTTTACCCAATTGAATGTTATTTCCTGGCTGTTAGCCATGATTCTTTGTTAATTTGCACATGTCGTATTTGTTTGTTCTTACCTTAAGTACCCTCCGTCCCTAGTCCATTGCTGGCAGGGGTCCCTGGCAGGGAAGAGTCACGCTATATGCTTTCACCTCCTGAGGCGTGTGTGATATCGCAACATGAACAAGAATTTATGATTTTTTTTTTAGTTACTGCGCATAATATCCATGATATTGAGCCCTTCATGTGATCGCTCGATTTTTCGCATTAGCAGCTGAGACGCCGATGAACTGCGGCCGGAAAAAGATTACAAAGTATCATTCTTAAACAACTGAAGAAGGATATTTTTACAACTCGGATAATACCAATCCATACCATTGTCATAGACCAAAGGTCTTTGTTTAGTTAAACTAATGTTCCAGCACTCCATTGATCTCAGTTGCACAGATACATATCCACACATCCACCACTATTCTACTCCTGATAAAAATTTGACTACCATAAACACTTCTAAGCGGAAAGTCAGTATTATAATAATCATGAAGAATCTTTTGAATAAATATGGAATTTATTTTTCAATAAAAAATTGAAAGAAAAAAATGCAATTAAAAATGCAAAAAAATGCAATTGAAAGAAAAAATGCAATTGTACTTGTCTTCAAGTTTCGGTCGAACAATGCTGGCTCGAAGCCATCGTAATTGGTTATCTAAATATGGGAGCATTCAAATTGCCTTCAGAGCTGGCCTGTATATAAAGATTGCATGATTTCGTGCCTGTTCATGTGAGAGCAACTGGGAAATTTAGAATGGGTAAGGCTCATATCCGCATGCGTAACTTCGGATTATACCAAAGTAAGGGCTCCTCAAAGGTGAAATAAATATGGATGTTCATTGTATCACCTAGGGTTACACCAGAGTGGTTTAGATGGTTTAGGTCATCAATGTACAAAATATTACTGAATATCAACATTTTCCTAGCAGAAAGTATAATTTCTGGTGCGGGTTCATTTGAAAGGCCGTACATCTTACCTGCCTTTTTATTCTGGAATCCTTTGGCGTTGTGACTGGTAATTATAATCGAATGAGGGCTTAGTCTTTCTGCTGATGGATTTCCTTAGCTGATGATGGTATAGTTTGAGTTAGAGGAATTCACGCCGACAAGATAATTGATAAGAATGTTCAACCGGAACTCCAAAATAAATTTGTTTGTGAAGTACACAGAGAGACACTCTAAATCTACTTATGACAATTCATTCTCGTTCTTTTTTCACTGTTTCTTTAATGGTTTTCATTTCTGACCGTTCACAACATAAAAGCAACTTAATAGTGCTATGGTTATTGTTCGGTGAACTTGTTGACGTCGGTTATGATTTTGAGCTTTTCTACGGCTGAGAAAGGAATCAAATGCTTTGATTTTGCAATACGAATAATTAAGGATGATAGATATGAAATAAAAAAGAAAAATAAATAAACTGGAACAACGGTGATATTTGACAGGTTCCCCCTCACAACTTAGGACTGTCTTGATCTTTTCACCGTAAAAGGAAATCTAAAAGCACTTTTAATCTTACTTTAATCTACTCTTTTAATCTTATCACCACGGTATTGCATTTTCCCGCAGCATAACTGCATTTAAAGCAATGCCTAGCCGTATTTAGTGAACTGCTGCACTCAGCTTGTTTGATTTATTGGGTTGTCGGTTACATTACTATTCTAATCGGGACTCTTTGGAGATTATATGGAGATTATATGCATAAAAAGAAAGTCCGCCCGGACAGTTGTTGCATGGTTTAGTGCTGAGTTTCATGTACAATATCATGATAATTTCAATTTCATTCTTTTTCATTTCAGATCAAATTGGCTTCATGAGTGGGAAGTAAACAAATGGCCAGAAGGTAGGTGAATTCAGATAGGCTACCGCAAAGACCGATCAAAGAACGAGACATGGTTTGGCTACATGAAGAGCAATCACAAAACTTAATAATGAAATCATGAAGACTGAATATGGCAACTAATTCATTACTTTTATTAATGCCTACCCGGGCTCAAGGTTTCCAGCTTTATGGATAATGTGAGCTTTACGTGTTTTCCTGAGCAAAACCACGCTCATTTCAAAAGTTATTCGCTGAAAATCAATAACATGATCAACAACGGGCTGGATATCGAGGAAATGACCTATTCTATTGTGACACTGCCATTCTACTTTTGTAGTCCAATTCAAACAATTGCAATCTTTGTGGTAATATGACAAAATTAAATTACTGAGATCATTCGCTTCAAGGTGATCACGATCTTTCTTGATCCCATATACAGAAAGACTGGTTTTCAGCCCTAACATGGCATGGGTTAAATTGTAATTCAGTAATTTTCATACTGAGGTTTCCGTCGTGCGTTATATAATTTCTTAACCTCTCGATCACTCGGTGTTCTCTGGATTATGGAACCAAGACGAACCGGCTCGTCCTGAGGAAACAGGATAAGCAACTATTCGAGATTTCCGTTTCTGAACTTCATCTCACAAGGGATGAGAAGCAAAACATTCTGGGATTTATCTTTTTCCTTTAATACCCACTACCTTTTTTTCACTGCAAAGTGTTTAATTTTCTTGAGAATTTTTACGGTTCTATTAAAGAAATCAGTTTTCAGTTAACGACAACAAGTTAAACCTTTAACAAGCTCACATCATGACTCCATGTGAAAAGACGGGCACCAATGCAAAGGTTAAAAATAGATCCGTGCATTTCCACTATATTAGGCACTCATAGGCAATCGATAATAGATCACCAGCCAATTTTGACTGAAAGGTACTGCCGAGTTCATGGCTATAATTTGAGATACAGTCCTGAGATACAATCGTGGCAGTTTTATTGGTCACGGTTTTCAAGGAAACATGGATGCGAATCAGTAGCAGGTTTAATTTCTGAAAGGTGGTAATTACCGCAACCCATAGTTTGAGCAATGATATGCTGCGGGATCCCTTGATGATGAAAAAGTTTACGTTTTAAATCAGCCTAACGATCCGAATTAATGGAAAAATCAAGTAAAGTCAGTTCAATGTCATCGCGAAATATGCTTCTTTTTAATCCAATAAATTTTAACGTTTCCTTCTCAAATGGGGTGGGATGGACCTAGGATTATAGAAAGAGGTTATGAATTAAACAATTTCTTTTGATTATTGCTGCTGAAAAATGCAATTTAGATCTGTCTAGTACACAATCAGTTCTTCAACATTAAATTCTGGCTGTTTTCTAACACGTTTTCAGTAGGTTATTTCGTATTTTCAAACAAAGAACAACGTGTAACACGAGTAACGAACGGCTTCTTTTGAATTCTGTACTGTTTTTGTGAGATGAGTAGAAAGACAAAATGTGAAATCCAGCTGAAAGTGGACCGTACGATAGACTCTGTTTCTTAAGGCTAACCTTATTTGGTGTTACAAACAAAATAACTCGTACGTGACAAACTGCAATTTAATCTTAAAGCCATAAATTGAGGGAAACTTATGAGAATTTGGCTGGTAGAATCGAAGCGTCAGGGACCACTGATTTAGGGGACACATTTCGAGTTGTACGCAAACCTCGACAAGAGTTTCGTTTGCAGTTTCGTTATATACTGTCTCCACTGCAAACACTCCTAAAACGGTACATACTCTTTGTTAAAATAAAAGATACGCTCTTGCATGGCTTACAGACAGGAATAGCGGCACAGACTCAAGGAATGACACAAAGAACCTTTGCAATCAACTTCGCGGAACGATCAACTGGAATACTGCGTGGAAGCTATCGAGGAGAGCGAAAATATAAAGAACATCCGAAGGGGACTTTGGTACTTGGAGTTTACCGTGTGGTCAAATCAGTAAAATGCTACTTTGCTTAAATTTGGTGAACGTCTTGCGGTATACGTTGCATTGAAGGTTTTAAATCTTGCAAAGCAAAATTATTCGCGTTGTAGCCAAAGGTTTCTTGATAAGCCCTAATTCAGAATACTCCGACTGTTCGTCCTATTTGAAACTTACTGTATCTGAAAGATGCAGATGGCAACCCCGTGGTTAAAATTACTTTATATGCGAGTTCTATCGCAGCCTTAACATTGCAAATAAATATATCATAACAAAAACAACCATTGGACTTAGACCTCAGAACCATTGTTAATGCAATTAACTTTGACGGATCGACATACAACTAAGAGGTATCATTTGAAATGATCATCTACGAAAAACAGGTTTAAAGTCATGTAGTTCCAGTTTTTGGAACGGTGATCACGTCTTTATGGATATATTGTATATTGTACCCTTCGCCCTTCGATGTTCCCCTCATCACTATTGTTCTGTCTTCAAGTCACATTTCCAAAACTTCATTTCGATTTGTCTTTACAACCATAACTGACTTTTTCACTTGTATTCTTTTTTCTAGAATGGGATGTAGGCTGGAACAATTTACTAAGAGCAAAAATCTTGGCTAAAAATTTCGCAAATGTAATGGCTGTCTGAAAAATAGTGTTCTCACGGTTTAAGCAAAACAAATCAAGCCTTCCCTAACAGCCGTGAAAACGTAATACAATTCATTTCCCAACCCGTGAAAACGCGTCTTTTCAAAATTCGAAAAGCCTGGCGTTAGCATGTTGTAGGTGTTCGGAAACTAAATTAAGCTCAGTCCGGAAACGATATAATGAAACAGAATGCAAAACAAATATAAATATAAACAAATATTCTCGCAACTTACTGTAGATTGACAGATAGATCATGCCTCATGCTCCGTCTCCACAAAATCTTTTAATTAGCGATGCTTTCAAAACAGGTCATTTCCACAGAGGGAGTTGCAGAGTAACACTGGGATATAATTCAAAATGCAATTAAAATCATTTCTATTTGAGATAACATTACCTTGAGCTGTTTACGAGCGTGCAGGTAGCCTAATCTTGACTCTTGAATTCGTATCAACTATTAAGAGCACTTGACCAGAGTTATATATTATTTCCGGTGTACATTTTATGCCGCTATGTAACAATAAGGGAATGATACAGGGAACTTAGCGTTACGACTTCCTGAAAAAAAGGTTGACCTTCTATAATGATACGTTTGACACCCTGTCTGGTGAAGTTAAAATTTCTTCCCCTTCTTTTCCATGAGAAATCGCCGTTAAATTCAACACGTAAGCTAAATCTCCGAAAAAGCACTCAAAATATCTCGAAATAACTCCTTTAATCGCGTTACAAATATGGATGATAGGCCACCAGGATCATAGGCCACCATGATGATTCATCATTGGTTTTGAGAATATGTGCAGTTCATGAATCAAACTAAAAAAATGGCATGATGGCCATTGATTTTTAATTTGCATCTATCTGTATCAGTATTAGTTTACCTACTTTAATCATTTTAAAATCGTGTTTAGCGTGCGTTTTGACATTGTTGTATTTTATCTTTGCTTTTTTCATGAGTGTGTACGTTTGTGTTCGAATCCTTTTTTAACTGATTCGTTTATAAATTTAGAAGTATTATAATAGCCACTTTTAATGAATGTTTATGGAACACTTATTATCGCTATTGTTATTCGGAATCGCTTCACCTTTTAGCGCGATTTGTTAATCAATATCATTGCTGAGATGGAAAGAAGAAGTAAAGTCCATTTCTCAACTAATTCATGAAACTTTGAAACCGATTTTGTACAGGAAAGTTACTTTAGTTTAACCGTCTTTATGAGCAAAAACGTGTCTTGACTTATTTTGACGGGAAAACAAGAAAAAAATTGAGTCAGTAGACTGAATGACACCGTTCGGGCGTGAGGTGTGTATTTTCCGCATTCTGTTTCCATAGTCGAGTTGACTTTGGTCATGAAAATCACGACGCATAATTCATGCCGACCACTTGTTAAACCGCAGTTGTTTCAATCTCTAAGTATCTTTTCACACTCTGTCCAAGCTATTCGTTGTTCACTGATCAATATACAATCGAAGCACTCCATTTGAGGAATGGAGTGCCCCACCGATAAACGCCTCCTTTGTATTGCTTTACCAGCGAGAATGATTCATAAAACATTCATCCTAACCTTAATATTTGCTGAACACAAATAGGATAAGTTCATGAGATGCGAAGGCATAGAATAGGCCATATTCCAAAATGTACCTCTTAAAACTGTTTTTCTGATACTTTGACTTATATTAGTGTATGGACATTCAATAATAAAGAAAACAACATATGAAACATATTAATGGAGAATAGAATCTTGATTTGCTTTCCAGCAATCTACCGTTAGAAAGACTTTTACCACCTCTGCCGGCTGCAGAGGAGAAGAGAGAAATGATAAATCCTTGCACAACGCGTTTGAATTACTTTTCCCTTTGTACACTAGCCACGTAGGTTAAAACCTCATCCAAAATGGAAGAATTATCAACACAGTAAAATATACTTCGCCCACCAACCAGACTATTGTCTAGATATGTAAGTGTCTAATCTACTCAGAACGTTAATGATATCCTTTGTCATTCGAGTTACAGAACTTTTAGCTTAGATGGCGTCTACCATCGCCTCCTTCTCGACCCCACCCGCCCTAGTTTTCTTATCTTTTCCAATGATAGACAAACAGGTTCCACATGAGAGTAACAAGTACTGACCGTTCTCTTCACTTTCATTAAATTGACACCCATAGGTATCGGTTGTCTATTAACGTTTTTTTCAAAATGAAAAGGTAGTCGATGATGAAATTGGGGTTATGACGCCAATTTCAGCAGAGAGTGAGCTTCATTCGTTAGATTTCTGTCTATTGCTTGCTATACCAGCGGGTAATTGTTAGTTGAATGTCAGTGAATTAACTGTTGCTTCGTAAGGAGTTTATGAATTCCCCAAGTTTCATACTGATCATATTTTGGGTTACAAATCATCACGGACATCCAGCACATTTGCCCCATTTTCCGGTATGCTAACAGGGCGTAAACACAAAAAAACAGTCGTCTTTTAATCCTCAAAAACTAAGATCCTCCTACCTCTTAAATTGATCTGTGTTTGGTACAAGACAAATTTTTCTTCTTGGCAACAGGAATCAATAGTACTGTTTACTTCAACTGGATTTTAAGTTTCGGGCCAGGTTCTTTTCGATGCATCTTGAAAGATACACAAAGGGGTTTGGGTATTCAGCCGTCTTTAACAGAGCCATGACAAAGCTCGTACATCTTAGAAAAAGTTGAGCTGAATCTTGCGTTTGTTACGTTAATCTTCTCTATCCTCAACCATGTCCATATTTCTTGATTTCTAAATTACCTATGCTACGTTACTCTCTTGCACTCCTTATTAGCTGGTGTTACTTTATTAGCTGGTGTTACTCGATGAAATTGCCACAACGTAGCTCCTATAAATAAAAAATATCTGTTCATTGTACTTATTTAAACTTGGAACTGAGCCTAGGGGTACAAAGGTTACTAACTGCGGTTTGGGAGAGAGAACAATTTGGCAAGGGCTCTACTAGAATTTCAGAAAAAAACGAGAAAGGAAAATAAAAGAAACCAGAACACGTGCACGAAATTTTCTTTTCTCTGAAGAACTAAAAAGAAAAACACAGGTCACTTCAAATGATGACATTGCGATTTTCAAAGAAAAAATTCGAGTAAGTGCCTACCGCCTTGACATATTATGAAGGTTTCCTTCATGTTCTGAAACTTTTATTAAACAGTTGCTATTGACGTCTGAGTGAACTTTAACTGAGTCTTCTCATACCCATTGTCTGGTCCTCTATTGTACCAAAAAAATTCTCGAATCTTTTTCAAGGGAAATACACAAATTAAATAAACTCATAAATAGGAAATTTTGATAATACTTCTATCTCGCAGGTTTACTGTGAGCTAAGTGAGTAATAGCAGATGAGCATAACACAAGTTCGAGCGGACAGATTTTGCTAGTATTATTTATTAAATTAATACAGGTCATCGAAGCTGGCTGATCATTTGGCTGATAATGACATCGATACGGCATCCTTTTAATAACTTATCGCAGTAACACTCCTTTGCAATTTCTTTAAAAGAGAAAACGCGTTGAAGGAATCAATCGAAGTTCAGAAGTTGCCAAATTAACTATCTAGCCTCTTCTCTCGAAGAAAGCACAACATCTCTCATTTAAACATTATTACTTTTGCGTCAAACATTTCAAGTAGTAGCATATTTGTAGTGGTGCTTTTAAAATGTCTGTACCAAGTCAAGTGAAACTGCTTGAAACAAATTTGGAGTAGAAGGCCACGTAGAAATTTCTGGTTGAGGCCGGCATGAATAGGCAAACCACACACACTCCGAGGCTTAGTCCAGAGGACAATTATGACGAAAACACGACAAGGCCATATTTGTGGCTATTGAAATAATAGAAATCTCTTCACAAATCAGTTGTCCTCACGAAGACATTCAACAACAACAACAACAACAACAACAACAAGGTTTATTTGAACTGTACATTACCTTAACTACAATTTAAACAAGAAATAAATTAAAATACATATAGTTGCTGGTCGCCCAAAATAACTAAAGAGCTAAACTAGTTGGGTGACCACAATATATTAATTAAATATAAATGTAAGGTCAGACAAGAGGCATTATACATTCTACATTAATTTTAAACTCTTATCAAGTAAATAGATTACAGAACAAATAATTCTTAAACATGTATACAATAAAAAAGAAAATGAAATAAATAACTAAATAACAGAAACGCCAAAACGTAGCAATTAGCAGTAAAACTCAACATAAATTGATGAAATGCATAGATAATTCTCTTTTGAATAAACAAGGTGATAGAATCTTAAATCTCTCATCAGTTTCATTCCATAATCTAGGTCTATTAAAGCGAATATTAAATTTACCATAGTTTGTTTGAATTTTTGAAACATAAAAAGTAGTCATAGTTGCAAAGTGAGTGTTGACATTATGCTTATTTGAGGTTTTAATATAAAATGAGTCAAATATCTTTGGTAATTTGCCGATAAAAAATTGATGCACGAAGGAAAGAGTTTGAAGTTTAATGTAATCCTGTAGTTTTAGAAGTTTAAGTTGAAAAAACAAAGGACTTGTATGGGTATCAAAATCTGAAAAAGTAATTAGACGAATTACCTTCTTTTGCATTTTTGGAGTGGTTTAATATTATGATCATAGGTGTTACCCCAGACTATACAACAGTATGAAAAAAAAAAAAAAAAAGGAAGAATGATGGCATCATATAATTGAACTAAAATTTTGATATTAACATATTGCCTAATTCCGTCGGATTTCGTTAAGAAAACATTTCCCTTACAAGTGAATAACAAACATAATACTAGTAACAACATTTTCACAAACAACGACGATACAGGGAGTCTGAATACAGGTAGAATAGCTCTGCCTATTATAGTTGCCTTTCAAATTTGATCATAATGTTGAAAGAGCGTTTAGTAATATTCGGTGACAAAAAATTGAATTGGTGCATTCGTTGATAACAAGCAAAACCATCAAGCCAGCGTCAACTTAGGGGAACATACCTATCAAATAGTATCCATTCAAATATCTGCCCAGGGAGAACTTTTGTTCGGAAAAATACAAACAGTAATCTATTCCCCTTCGCTAGATGTGAATAATAGCTTTAAATAATTATTTCGAAAGACATGAATCGAAACGATCGATACCTTACATTCAAAAGCTTGAAATACTCCTTGTCTTAGAACTCTCCATGTGCATGGGGCCGGGTAATCAAATGGAAGTTGGAGGAATACTATGAGCAGCAAAAGAATACTCATACGTTGTAATATTTCCCTTTCAGAATTTATATAAAATGGACTTGCTTTGAAGCTTAGACCAAGAAGGTTCTCATTCTACTCACGGAGACAAGGAATTTACCATTTATTTTCTGTACAAGTGGGGTCGACAAATTATCTGATCTTGCTCAGAGATGAAGGAGTAACAATTCTACAGAAAAAGGAGGAACCAAACGAAAAAAAATGGTAATCATAATTCGGTGCAAACTGTTAAAATATGTTTTTGTTTCATCGTAAGTACTTCTATCGAGTATTCATTCTTCTCAGTTCTTTTGGCTTAAATACATGAACAATGACGAAAATATTTCACTTACTTTTTTTTAGCAAATCAGAGCAGACTTTTAGTGCCCTTTACATTTCATGTTGTAAAACAAACCTTCAAAAATATCTTGCTCAGAGGGTGTCTCGATATAATTTCAATAGGGTTTCTTTATCTAAAGCTTGAGAACGTGAACAACAACAGTTTACAGCTATTGTACAGCTCCCTTCCAGTTCAATCATGCAAATACACTCTTAAAGCCATAACCTTGGATAAAGTTATAGAGAACACGTCATGATGTTTAAAAAATATAATAAAAATAATAATAATAATAATAATAATAATAATATGCAGTATTTATAGAGCGCTAATTCCCAATGGTCCAAAAGCGCTTTACATGATAGAAATAACAGAAGAATTATCCCACAAAATAAACCTACAACTACAAATATACATCATCATCCTATAAAAACATAATCATTCTATACAATAACATCATAACAAACTTTAAAAAGCCAAGACTTCAGCTTAGATTGAAAAGAAGAAAGGGAATTACAAGATCTAAGTTCGAATGGAAGTGCATTCCAAACAGAGGGAGCAGCAATAGTAAAAGACCAGCCACCATAAGTTTTAAGATTTAATTTAGGTGTAGAAAGTAAAAATTGATTCGAGGATCTAAGAAGTCTACCAGAACTACGACAGTCATACTGCAAACACAAACTGAAACTGTGATTTGGTCTATCAAAGTATATTCAGTTCAATTTTGGCTTCCAAGTTTAAACTAAACAACAAGAACTTTCAATGTCGTGCTACGTCTGAGCATGAAAAGGACATATTTTGTCTAATAATCAAAAGTATGAGACTTGCTCTACAATACATTCCGATAGAAAACACATGAAAAAGAATCCTAAGCCAGGCTGTTAAGAAACCGAAACCTAGTCAATATGTATATCTCAATTCTTCTCGACTTCTTATCGCGAAAAAAGCTGAACTAGGTCATTAGTCGATCATTCATGGTTTTAGCTGAACTTTAAACTTATACTTAACTCATGCGTTAGACTGATTTTTAGTCTTTGTACCTAACCGAATGACATTTACAGATCGCAAGGCTACTCAAAAATCATCTTCAGTAAACTAAAGGTACAATCATGTGTTCATTATGATCTAAGCATAGCTTGAAGTCAGTAGCAAGTTAAGTCAACACGAACAGATCCTTTAACGTGTCAACTACAGAACTATTAAATATAAACCTATATGGCCATAAATACCTAGGATGGAATGAAATGATTCGCTTTCCAATCATCTTTCTGAAATGGAAGTACATATTTATCTTCCACCCGCCGCTGATTAGTCATGAAAGATCCTGTCCTCGGAGCAATCCCAATATCACTTTGGAACCAAGCCTACGCACAGGTCACACGTAGGAAGGATTAATGAGACAATTTGCCAAACCTCATGAAATATTCTCTTCCAGTCATGCTTATCAAACTTGACAGGTAGTCTTCTTCGTTTCGTGATTACCCGTGCATTTGACTTAAACCTCGGTTAGTTCAATCTTTTAAACGTATTTGAATTTCATTATTTAAAAAGTTTACAGAGAAGCACAGCATTCGTCCCTTTCTTTGTGATCAATATTACCAGCATACAGGGGGTGTATTTACATTTGATAACATAAAATATTAAAAGCCTTTCTTCTTAATTTCTCAAATATAAGTTCAATAACTGATACACAACAAAGACGAAGTAATTCAAAGCTACAGGCATTTTCTGAAATGAGCAAAGGAATATTGATCTTTATTATAATCAAATTGTGTCGAGAGAGTTGAACATCCAAATTGTGTCAATATCTTGCTTCGAAAACTGATATATATATATATATATAGTGCTTTTAGGCTAATAGAGTCACTCTATCATCACAATTGCAAAGAAGCTTCTTGAATCTTGTATGAAAATCAGTTGCTGAAGTTCCGCAGGGATAGATCTCTTCCGTGTCGACGGAGAGGCTGGAGTTGGTTGAGTTACTAACTGAAGTTAAGTGATGTGTACGTGTGACGTTCATTGTCGTTCAAGGTCACTCTACGGCCATCTTAAATAATTTTATCACGTTCTCCTCCACTGAAAATTAGTGGAAGCCGATTTAAGATGGTATGCTGGTATATTCTAAGTCATACATACCACACAGTAAAACAACCTTTGAAATGATCTTAGGTGCGACTGAAATATTTAATTAGGAAGCAGAAACCACTCAAAAGAGGTATAAAGATGGCGTAAAAATCATCCAGGATTTGAAATACAGATACGGGAAAGAAAGAAGGCGAATAATTTTTTATTTAAAAGGCACATTTCGTAAATTGGTGATTTATTTGTACTTCTGTAGCAGATTGACCTAATCTTGACGTAACAAGCCTTCTCACTTGAACGGAGAAATACCATCTGAAGTAAACTTTATATTTATTAACCTTTAGTTGGGACAGCAATGATAACCCAAAGAGTTATCAAGGAAAGGCTTCACCGAGTTTTAATAGCCTAATAAAGTAAACATCGCAACGTATAACCTTCAGGGATATCTAAATCTATCTTTACCCCAGAGAAGTATATATAATGTACTTATTGACTGAGTGGGAGGGCCGGACGGGAAAATAGTTTGCTCGAGGTCATGACGTATGTGCTTCATGAACGAGAGCTAAATATTTTCCCGTCCAGCCCGACCAAACTCAGTCAATTAGCATTTTATCATATGAACGCTGAGTGTTGAAAATTTCAACCTATATGGGATCCGATAGAAGGGCTCACGCAGCCACACGAGCACAAGAATATCTGCAACGATAACTTTTCCTTTATATTTTCAAGTCAGAACAAGACACTCCCAATTCCTTGAAAAACCCAACTATTTTTCTCATCTTTTTTTCCCTTTAAGTTTTTGCAACAAAGAGAAGTGAGAGCAGCAGGGCCGGACATCTTTTTCAGACCGGCTCACGTCAACCCGTCTGGCCCAGCACACGTCAACTTTTATTATGATTTTCTATGGGATTACGGGAGCGGGTCCGCACGGGTCATATGATAATACCAGATATAGACTAAAGTCGCAGCGTTGTACTGCAACAAAGTAATGGAATACAGTAGTTTATTATACACGTGCCGTGGCTGGCTAAAATGACTTTTAAAGAAGCTCCAGAAAGATAATTTTCATATTCAGAGACTGGCAGCCACAGTTTTCACCAAAGTGTAAATGCATCTTAGAAATTTTAAAGGTTTTAAATTAAAATCGAATCTTTTGTTTTGATTAGTTGCTTTGGTAATTGTACATTTCTCATATTGTTTCTCCTGGAGTACCAGTAAACTAGTGAAAGCTAAACGTTGCTGAAAATCTAGGTGATTTTCAAAATAGTAAAGGCTGACTGCAATTAGACCAATTTAAGGTGAGACTAGCACTAGGAACACCAACGTGTAACCTACTGGAAGCAAACAGAGAGGAACTGACTACAAACTAGCTGTTATGAAAGATGCAACCTCTGCCTCAGAGAAAAATATCTGCCTCACTGACTTGTCATCACTCAAGAAACATAACGAACTTGTTTCCTCGTGCCGCCACAGAAACATAGCGTTCTGCGTAACAACTCATGAGAAGGTGTTTAAATTTAAATTTACCACCACGCCTATTATACAAATGTTATAGTTTAGAAACGATGGTTACGAATATTTTTATCATTAAAATCCCCTGAAGAGTGAGTAATCACGTAAAAGGCTTGTAGGGACCAAAGTGTAGTCTTGTTATTTCACTAACTCATCAAATATCCCGCTCTACTTTTATGTATCGAGCACTGTACTAAGAAAAACTCGAAAGACAGACTTCCTAGATATATATATGTTGCTGTTTTCTACTGTATTTCACATCATGATAGAAAAGTTAAATAAACCGTGGCTTGAATGTATGTCCTGTTTTGTTTTTGTTTGCGTTTTTTACGTTTTATTCCATTTCTCAAACTTTTGTCCGTTGTACATCGCACATAATCCCTTTAATAGTTTGTTAATGCTGATTTAGATTTTCCGATCATTTTGAAATATTCTATCTCAATTTTCTAAACGTCATAACATCAGGTAAATGTGGTACAATTTCCGTAAGTTGTTGCTTCAGACAGGGAAGTGGAATCCATGGAGTCTGTCTATAGGTTAGGGTTGGTAGACCTCTGCATGAGTAACAAGATACTCTATAGATTGTCTTCTAAGACTTCAGCTGATAAACTGATAAAGGTGTCATCCAGCTTTAGAGCGAATGTCAAGTTAGTAGCCATGATAGAAACCGATAGAGTTGTTTCATGAATTGTTATTACGATCTGTATTATCGCTATTCAAAGTTTCTGGGTAGACAGCATTTTCTTTAAGTAGAGAGCGAAACACAATAACTCTCAAAATTGCACCAAGCACGCTGAACAAGCACACCACGACGATTGCAGGCAACGAGAACCAGGTGTTGGAGTGGTTGTTGCGATAGTGAAAAAAGATCATCACGAAGTTTTCTATCACATACAGAACATTAGAGACTAGGATTATTGCTTTCATGTGTGACCTATGTCGTAACTCATACAGCTCCTCGTGTCTTGAAACATCGTCTCTTAACCAGTGGGTGCAAAACTTGAAAAGCGTTAAGATTGCTTTTCCGAATTCGAAGGTGCAGTTGCATTTCTGCCCCAACCAGGTAACAGAAACTGCCTCTATCACCAAAGCATGAGATATAAGGAAAGCCATAACCCACCACTTGAATTTGACGGTAAAAATACAGACGGCTAGCAAGCGACTTCTCAAGTGGAGCACATTTACTACAAAAAGTCCTGCTCTATGTTTTGCTCTTAGGGTGGCAATAACGGACCCGTGCAACATTTTGTCAGCGCTTGTGAACGTCCAAGCTAGGCTTAGAAAAGAGACTAGTAGAGAAATTATTTGAATACTCGCGACTGGCTCGTCTTGAACGCTAATGGCGTACAGCTGGATCGTACACTGGGGTGCGGATTCAAGAACTGCTTCGTAGAAAGTAACGGATTCGATATCGTTAAGTATTTGATCAGAGTCATCACTGTTGGGCTTCATAAACAGGAGAAAGCCTCGTAGTCTAGCAAATGCGGCACCAAATGGGTGTAAGCCGCAGATTATTGCCTGTCCACAATTTCCTCGAGAATACATTATCAGGAAGGCGAAAGCGAAACATGGCAAAATAAAAAACAATAGACCTACACCAAACCAAACCTTATGTCCTACCCTGTAGAATTCGAGTAGCGTGAGAATGTCGGTGATTGGATCAGCAAAGCTCAAGATACTTCCAACTAAAAACAGAAAGTAATCGTACCATCTCAAGTTTACTTGCGGAGAGGACATTGTGCCAAAAATATTCCCTAACTCTGGTTTGAAAATCAAAAATTTAAATCGGGTCGTCTCAGCCGGGAATTCATAATATTGAGGTTATGTAGTTAAAACATCCGCAAGAAAAAAAAAAAAAAAGAAAAAAGAAAACCATAGAAATATCAGCTGAGGGAAAACATAACCCACATGATGTCTGATTTTATATGCGTAGTCTAAATATTGTTAAAAAACCCTTCAGGACTCCGAAAACCTTTTCTTTTAGCATTGTGGTATCACAGAAGGGATTTTACAATCTTTTTTCAATTTCCTTCAAATTTAATATCTAGTGAAAAAAATAAAGAACTATCAACTCCTGAAAATGATTTTATTTTGTATCTTTTTTACTTCAGTAGATATAAAGCAAAAAGTAATTTGAGAGTAGAACGAAAGGCGCGAGAATGATGTCAACTTCTTCCTGTTACCTAATTAACGATTTCAAAACCACAATTGATTTTCAATACACACTGTACAGTTTTGTACAGTACCGAAGTCATTGCACAGTTTTGTACAGTTCCGAAATTACACTTTCGTTATCAAGTCTACTTACATTAGTTCTTTCCGAAAGCTAGAGAGATTGTTTTTAGAATTCAAATTTTTTTTTTCTTTTAAGCATCGGAGCGGAAGTATTGTTCACTCATGATAGTGATGGGGTTCCTACTAGACTTCAATGATTCAGTGGCTAGAGTCGAAGTTGCCGTGGGCGCTAGTTCGCGAAAAATATCGCCGACAGCCCATCATCATTAGCATAGTGTACAGTATTCATGGTCAAGTGACAACTCTCGTTGCTCTAATACAATACTCCCAATTAGTTATTGTACTTTTACTTAGGAGAGTAGATTTACGACACTATTTGGTAACAGTAAGTTCCATACACCGATGACACCATGTGACGCCATTAAACGCAATACGCCACACCTTTCCCGGGCTAAGTTCTTAGACTACTCTTGAAATCATAATTAATAATTTGTTAAACATTGTTAATCATTAAATAGTCTACAAAGTTTTCATGGTCCTTCGTGATCTTAGCTGCGCTTCCGGACCGGGTTGTTACACTCGTTTCATTCTGAGTGGTGATTAAATGCTTCGTCAAATAAATTTATTTTGCAAAACGTCTCGGCGTGAAAGAATAAGCTCCCATTTTGTGCATTGGCAAAAATGATGAAATTGAATAAAATAGCCAAAATCAGTGTTTATGAAGCTTTAAGAAAATGTACACTTTTAGAGGGATAGCGCGCACAATTTTCACGCCATCTCATTTTGAATGAAAACTGCTTCCAGGGGTCCATCACTCATGGGCTCCTTCTGCTACCAAGCAACATTCATGAACAACGAACTGATCTAGTTATAGTCATGGTGACCTTTTTAACTTAGTAATCAAGGTGGTGGTGCCGGAAGAGGTCAGGGAGGATCTGCGTGACTAAAATGCAATAGGGGGCGAAGCTTTCTTACGCTTTTGTGAAAGAAAAAATCCAGACAGGCGAGGAAACGACACGTCCTCACAAGCTGCCTCGAGGGAACTATTAATATATGAGGTCTCCATCTAACGGAAAGTATGGCTAAATTGTGGTCATGCACTTGAGAAGCCCGCGTGGATAACTTCAGGCCGAAGATAACAGATCATTACGAGCTGTTTTAAAAATCCAGTCAAAGCGATGAGATCCACATAGTTTTCAGCGGGTAACAAGTCCCACTCCAAGGCAGGGTTGCTCAGATCCTGTGTATTGCAGGATAACAAATTAAATTCAACCCACACGGGAAAGGTGCCCATTAAAAGACTTGGGGGACAATGAAGACTACGTTCCCATCAGCACCTGATACTGATATTCAGTTCGCGAAGTGCATCCGGCTATATGCAAGGTAGATGCTCAAATATCAAATGTAAATGCATTCAAGCATATCCCAACTGCATTGGCCCATGAAACTGTTCAGAAATTGGAGACTTTTCTGAGAGTAAATGAAGAGAAAGCGACAATTTTGTTTTATGAGCAGAAGAAAAAGAGAAAGCTGTATATGACAGCAATAATAGAATTACGTATGCTGCACGATCTCGCAGTAGAGAGCGCTATTTATGCAATAGCGAAAATCAGACCTGAAAAAAATCCGTACGGGATTCGAACCACTGACCTCTGCGATACTAGTGCAGCGCTCTACCAATTGAGCTAACAAGCCAACTGGGAGCAGGCCGTTAAGTTGATTCGTAATAAACCCGTGATGATAAATCAGATACAATGAATATATGAAGTTCATATATTTTGAACTGCGGTTATAGATACGTATGATGCACGATCCTCGCAGTAGAGAGCGCTATTTATGCAATAGCGAAAATCAGACCTGAAAAAAATCAGGTCCCACTTCTTTTCAGGTCCCATTTTTTTCAGGTCTGATTTTCGCTATTGCATAAATAGCGCTCTCTACTGCGAGGATCGTGCATCATACGTATCTATAACCGCAGTTCAAAATATATGAACTTCATATATTCATTGTATCTAATAATAGAATTAGTTAGCGTGGTTGTGACGTTGAGATTTGAATCATTTAATTAAGGGAATTCGTACCATATGTGTCTATGAATCAAAGTTTTCTTTTCGTCTTTGAATGATAATGAGACAGATTTGTGGCTTTCGGGTCATAACCGTCAACCAGTTATCACAGAAAAGCCCTCGGCGCGATTTCCAAAAGTGCCAACGAACGAATCATGTTCAGAACCATGTTTACCCGGAATTTCTGAAGAAAATCAGTTCTCGGAATTCCACGACTAGACCCGATAGTCTGATAAGGCACTAGAGAAAGGCTACGATGGCAAACAAAGCAATGTTTTCTCCTCCGTAGATGGCAGTTTTGTGGAAGCTCAAGAGTTCGCGAAAGGAATGGACTCCTCCAATAGCTTCTCCGCTATCTTCATTTTGATCGTGCGCTGACAAAACCACCTGCTCCGCATAGGAGCATACTTGTTAGAGTGAGGTCAAACTACCCTCCCCGTGGGTAACAATTAACATTTATTCACCGAAGTGCAGGTCAACAGTAGCTCCGTCAATATCTACAACTTTCACCGACACTGAGGTGAATAATTATCTTGGTATATACTGGACAGATACCAAGAAATTAGATCACTTCTTTCAATATACCGAAAAATGGTCGGAAATTTAACTCGTGACGCGCGATTTTGTCTCATCGGATGCCTGGAGGTACCTAGTATGTGCTATTCACTTCCCATCAGCGCGAGCGAAAAGCACTTTTCACTTGTAGTATACACTAAATTTCTTTACTGTTTTGAATACAAAAGTAACTTAAACAGATCGAATTCACCGTATTTATTACTAAGTTAAATTGGAACTTCATCAAAATCTTGTCCTAACTACAATATGAGTGGCTAGAAATCCTTCCAGTGAAGAAAACAAAACAAACAACTACCAAGCTTGTTTTAATACATAATTTCGTGTAATTGACACGGGCACCTCGAAAATTTTCACACCTGCAAAAAATCTATTTTGTATATTTTAAACCACGTTGGCTCAAACTACTTTTAATTCTGTCCAAGAAAAAGTTTCAATAATTTGTCAAATTTCTAAATTTTTGCGATGAAGAAGTACCTCGATGTGGTAAATTTCTATCTAATGCAGTCAAAAATTATAAAGGTATTCCCTTCGCGGATTTGCATTATTAGAATCTGGAAGACTGTTAGGTATTTCTGCAATCTTCATCATGCTCTTAGCCCAGCAGCGAAACTCTGAAATTACCTCATTTATTAATTGCTAGGGTTTCTTTAGTCACGTAAACCTAAACGGTTAAAGCGACATTTTCTAGGATGAAACTGCCCCAGCCGTCACTAACCGTCACTAGTATGCGACCCTGTTTACGTGTACAAAAATTCTCAGATGGGAACATTGCAGAAAATAGCTACGACCGCTCACGTTATTGAAAAGTACTAACGAACATAAAATGTAAAGAAAAAGACAGTGGTCTCGCAAGGTCACATTTTGGCACCAAATCTTATTAAAGTAATTAATCTCGCATTTGTTTTCATTTCTTTACCAGTTGGCGCAAAATATTCGGACAATCTTGTAAAGTAAACAACCTTAATTTCAATAAATTTGTTTTTCTTTGAAATTATCTATTTTATCTTTTAAGCTATAATTGGGAGTTTTTTTCTAGTAGTCATAGAGCAAGCTCATTGCTTCGGCAGCTTTACATCTCACTTGACCCGATGGATCTTTCAGCAAAAGAATCAGAGCTGTTACGAAATAAAATCAATAAACAAAAATTAGATTGGTTTCACGGATTAATGTCAGTATCTAAGCAACTGCTCACCTACCCCTCCCCTAACTAAACATAAAATTTACCTTGTTATCAGTTGACTGTTGTCGGTTTAGGGGAGGGGTGGGAGCGCAGTTGCTGATCCAATTTTACTATAACATCAATTCTTCCCTGTAAATCAAATTCTCGCATCTTTGCAATACCAAGTGGTTTGTTCTTCATACAAAATTGAAAGCAATCGTTTATTGTTTTTACTACGAGCTGCCTCGCGATACTTGAGGGGACGAAACTTACCCCCACACACATGATCTTTGGATATCTCATCTCTTCTTTCTTGAGGAAGGTTGCCGAGAATAAAACCTGAAATTCATGATAAAGGGGAAAAGCCGTTCTATATAAAACTTGATCTATACTCGAAAGGTTCTCTCTCTTCCCGTCCCAATAACAAGACAATAACAACAACACCACGAAGTTAAGGATGACAGTGATATGGCTGGGTAGGGCTGGGAACTAAGCTGGCTATTCAAATAGCGTTGTTCTCCAATATCGTCTTAATGGAATTTGGGGCCATGCCACATTGTTTCATCGTTTAAAAATCATAACCTTCGTTGATGAAGACGGGGTAGAAGGGGGTCGTAGATACCCTTGAAGCCCCTCACGTCCAAACACTTCCGTAAAGGAGTTGTTTCGTAAAAGTTTGGTAATCTACATAGGATGATTTTGTCTTTCACGATGCCCGAGATTTTTAACAAAAAAAATAAATTGATAAAGAGACTTCTACATCGGTATCCCCAAAATACGGAAGTTCACTCACCAGTGAGCAACGCTGCGTTCGCTTTGATGTCATCTCGAGAACTTTTAAAGAATGAAACGCAGCCCATCACGTAAAAATTGATCTTATCAGGAAAATCAACAATCTAAAAGGGTAGAGAAGAGTATTAGGTATTTCTGACTAGCGTGGGACGGGTGACTACCCGTGAGGATTGATCTACATGGTAACAGAAGATTCTTAAACCTGCTGTACAACGAAGGTAGATGCGGTTGATGACACAGGTAAGACGTTGAACGCATTACGGAGCATCATTCAGGAAACACATCCCCGGCGATCGATCCAGCGTTAGATTCCGGCGATCTCCTAACGAAACATTCTCGAGCAAAATTGTAAAACAATTTTGCGATGGTTTGACACAATCTATGGTTTAAACATGCAGACTGCTCCATGAAAGCTCCATGAAAGCTCCATGAAGTCATCAACCTTGTGAATCAACAGTAGGAGGTCTTAAGGTGAGGAACTTATTGGATACTGACGAACGCCATTTGACGGTGTTACTAATGCAGTTTGGAGACCGTTTACTTCCATCTAGCTAAGGAAATTGGAGATAAATTAGAAGACAGTACTTACAAGAAGTCTAGAGAGATCGTTCATGAACTCGCCATAATGAAGATGTCCTTCTTCTAATAAATGTTTTTGAAACATTTCGTTAACAGACTCGGAACCCATAAGAGGAGCGATGGACCGTAGACAGCCTTTACACGCCTAGGAAACGGACAAGGTGTAAAATAATATGTACGTAGTTAAATTACGTGTTTCAAAACCAAAAAAGTTCTACCGGCCAAACAAAGTAAAGGTCAACATTACAACCAGCCAATGAGAACTAAAAGCAAATACACATAAATGGCCTTTTAAGGAAATAGTAGTTGCCGAGGCTAGGAATGCGTTTGAATAACTTGAACTACTTGCAGAATAAGACATCACGTCACGAGTATCACATTCGATTCGATTCGTAAAGAAACTGTAAAAACTGTATAGAAACTACATATGATGCACAATCCTCGCAGTAGATAGCGCTATTTAAGCAATAGCGAAAATCAGACCTGAAAAAAATCAGGCCTGTACGGGACTCGAACCACTGACCTCTGCGATACTAGTGCAGCGCTCTACCAATTGAGCTAACAAGCCAACTGGGAGCAGGCCGTTAAGTTGATTCGTAATAAACCCGTGAAAGTGATAAATGAGATACAATGAAATATATGAAGTTCATATATTTTGTTGCTTAAATAGCGCTATCTACTGCGAGGATCGTGCATCATACGTATCTAATACCGCAGTTCAAAATATATGAACTTCATATATTTCATTGTATCTGTATAGAAACTGTAAAGTGAATGTTAGCGAATGTTGGCGAATGTGATACTCGAGAGGTGATGTCTTATTCTGTAAGTAGTTCAAGACATCACTTCCCGAGTATCACATTCGACGCACGTATAGAAACTGTAAAAACTGTATAGAAACTGTAAAGTGAATGTTAGGGAATGTGATACTCGAGACGTGATGTCTTATTCTGCAAGTAGTTCAAGACATAAATGGCCACAAGCCCGAAAAAACGCTAAATTTTCTGGAGTTGTAAAGTGGATTATAATTGTTCTGTTTACTCTGTATTTCTTTGTTTGAAATTGATTCGAAGGAGGTCATAGATCTTCAACCGTTCGACTACTAACTGTCCGTCAAAAGCGCAGGAGTTTTAGGTGTTTTTACTACAGCAAACAGTTGTGCAAAGAGCGATTACAAAGCTGCCTTTGGAAAGGACTTTTGTCGATCGCATCAAGGCCAGTAAAAGATGGTGCAGCAACCGGAGTTTATCTCGAGAGCACTATTCTATAAAAGGTAATAACGTGAATCATATTCTCTACCTTGACGACTTCCACCTCTTCATTCAAGTGTAACATAACACTAATAAAGTTCGTATGAATTTGCTCCAAGAACGGGGTTTTTGAGGGCCCGTCACTAAAACGAGACAGTTTACCAAATAAGGTAAAGGCAGCAGCTCGAACAGCATCTTTTTCCTTAAAAATAAAAAGAAGATCAGTAAATAATAAATAAGAAATAGATAAATAATTTCAATATAATTATAAATGAATATAGAACAAATTAATAATTCGTGGATGTCTTAAATATACGTCCTCATGTTTAGTGAAGAATTCTGCCATCGACAAGCTTGTGTAACTGGAGCAATTATAATCGCTTGCTGACAAAATACTTCAATTTTGACTATTAATCGATTAGAGAGAGCTTAGTTAAACAGTCTGTTTCGGCGACAAAACAATTATAAGATTTTAAAGAACTCGCAAAACCTCCCCTTATGGCCAGCGTGAATTGGTTGCTTGAACAGAAAACCCGAAACTTAATTTTGAAAGAGATATTTCAGATATTTCTCCTAAATTGTCAAAGTAAAGGCAAAAGAATCTTATGAAACCAAATTAAGCATTTGAATGACACAGCTTGATTTTGGAACCCACCTTTTCAAAGCAAGGTCTGATTCTAAGACAAATGTTGATGAGTATTTGCCGCACGTTATTTTCGTCCAGTTTGGCCAGGATCTTAGCAAGTCCTGACATCGACTCCAGAGTTATTTCGTCTTCTAAATCATCTTTGTCATCCATACCCGCCATCATTGCAGATAGGATTGTGGTAGAATATTTTTCAAGCTGAAGAATTACAAGAGCTATTATTTTCAGGCGTAGTCTAGTTTCTTTTCTCATAATCACGAAACACAATCGAGAAAAGCGGAAAATTTTTCTACGAAAATCTCGAAAGCTCTCGAAGCTCCACATTCCCTCTTATCAGAAGTAAATTTCCTACTGGATTTTGGTTTACGTTTCATTTTCTAGCTAACGTTTGTTACAGACTTTTTCAACATGTCTCCTCACGTGATAGACGTTTCTGTCTAATATTCTTATGTTTCCGACTTTGCAGTGTAATCTAATATGGTGGTGTTATTTCTGAACACTCCATTAATTTTAGATCAGATTCTCAGAGAAGCACCTTCCATGCACACCAAGAATTACTTGATACATTCATTACCGCACGAAAGTTTACGTCCAGGAATTTTCAACGATATAATTACACTTCTCTCAAAAGCGGTGTCTAATTAGACTCCCCTTGCCGACCAGTGGCCATGGACAAGGACTCCGTGGAACAACACTTTTAATATCAAACCAAATAATGCGCACGCATTACCTGAGAGTCTTCCACACTTGAAATGTTACCCAGTCCTCTGATACAGAACTTACGAACCACCTGCGATGTATCCACCAACCGGCTTAGCAGACTATTCATCAGGACTTCTACTACTTCCACTTTACCGCCACATTTCTGGTCAATTAACTGCACGTCACACAAGAACAAAGAGAAACGAAAAAAGGCAATAAAATTCGCTGCCGCCCCAATACCACGTTTCTACGACGTCAAGTATTTGTTTTGTTTGTTTGTTTGCTTTTTTTAATGTTTTTATCAGCTTTGGCGAGGTTGTTTCCAGAATCAATTTTAATTTCAACCACGAGAGAAACCAACCCATACCAGTCCGCTTACACAGGAAATAAATGAAATAGTTTTAAATAGACCAAGTCGGGCGAACGACAAATAAAAGAAACCTTAGCTACCCTTCTTGTTGGCTGACGATTAAAATCCACGTTTTTGCCAAATGAAAGTAAATTATTAGGCATTGGAAAGTTGACGGTTGACCCCGTTAAGACCTGCCTTTGGTAGTTTCTTAATATTTTTCTTACGGTTTTGAAGTATTCTAAGCTTCATCTTACTTGCCAAACTTTCTCGTTAGAAAAGGCCTTTGTTGAAGAAGCATACAAAAATCCTTATGTCTCGACGAGCTCGATGGCATATAATCTGACCGAGTGGTTCGAAGGGCTAGCTACCAGAATTTTGCCTTTGACAACCATTTAGCATACCTCAGCAAAAAACGCTGCTGCCACGATTCTCTGTGCATCGTAGACAGTTGACAATATAGGGTTCAGGTGATCAACCACTTTAGGGACCAACTGAGGGACCGCTTTACAGAGGGCCCTAAAACATGGGACAGAGTTACGAACATCCAGTCAGTGACTTACTACACGAGAAAGTCGCCGCCAGCATTAAGAATTCTGGATATGCCATGATAATGCCAACGCCAAAAATAAGGGTAGATGAAATACCGAGGACATCGCAAATTGAGCCCGGCACGAGCGCAGGAACCTTACCCTTGTTGGCTATTTGCCATTCCCCAGTAGGAACAACCATTGAATATTTTTACTTATTTAAACATAAAAGCAGCGAGTTTGAACAAAAACTGGATAAAATACAGCGAATAATTATCAGCGAATAGGACATAATACAATTAAAAATGATCGCATGAGCATCTTTTACACGTCTTAAAGTTTTGCAAAGGTTAATTGGCGAGATTTTCCATTCACCAGTTGACTGCAGATTTATGGAGTACAAATTTATTTTTGAAGGCTGTATGATGTGTAGTGTCGTAAATTCTGCTATCTGAGGTCAAAATATTTAAAAATGTGTTCAAAGAATAATCTAGGTGTTAACAATGTGTTAAAAGTATTGCTTAAATTACAAGCTGTGCTCCTTAGTAAAATATCGTTTTTATTCCCTCAATAATGACTTCGAATCTTCGCGCTGTCGCGCAACAATTTATCGTTTGTTTGATTATCAAATCCAGAGTTTGAAAATATAAAAAGAGAAAACAGCTTAAATCCGAATAAAAAGACAGCCTTCGCTACAAATTCTAATGAAGTAGACATGCTCCACTACTTACCTTGCGATGGCACAGACACCATCAGGGAATGTTTTTTTATCCCCAAACAACGTCCATCCATCTTCGTCGTCGATAGATTGCATCAGAGTGTCATAGTTGCATTTGGTGATGAGTTCTTTTATGCATTCGAGGGCAGTGCTATAAAAAAAAAAAAAAAAGGGAAAACAAATTACTTTTAGAGCGCGTCTACTGCATGAAGGATAGACCGACAGACCATATAACTTGAAAGGACCACTTTAATACGCCGCAATTCAAACCCTGCACGCACTCTTCCAACAAATTTTCGCTCAGCCTTTGCTTTTATTTATTTCAGTGTCCTAAGATTCCGCCATCGACCCCATAATGACTGAATTTACATTAATTCCTCTACATCGTGCTCCTAAAATCTGCAAGTATACGCGAGTACCCTAAGGCCCCATTTATATGGTCTCGGGTACCCGAGAAAATCCTACCCCCGAGAAAACTTGAAGGAGCGTTTATATGAAATTTGACATCTGCTAACCCTCGCTCGGCCAATCCAGATTGCATATTTGACAAAGAGGCGGACGACAGGGAAAGAATAGCTGTAAAACGCACGGGCTCTGGTTATAGCGTATGCGCGCATTTTCTGTTCGAGTTGTCTTGTCTCGGGCAGGCGAGACAAGGTGTTTATATGAGAAAAAGTTGTCCCGCCTGCCGAGATGAGACAACTCCACGCCCCCCTCCACACAAGTTGTCTCGCCTACCCGAGACGAGACGAGTTTACAACCTCATGTAAACTGTCGACTGATTTTTCCTAAGAAATAAGTGAAAAGTTAGCTCGCCCAGGGTAACTCAAGAGGAGGGCTGACTCGGGTACCCGAGGCCGTGTAGAACACTCAATTTGGGAAGAACCTCCTTGACCTAGTTATGATGCTTTGTTTACTTTCTATTAACGATTTCAAATAGCATACCGTTCATTATGCATTTATCGTCAGTTCTGGTACACTTTGGTATTCTTCTTCTATTTCAACCATTTTATACTTTGCCCTTGTTTCGTGTTTACTCTGACTTTTAATCCTTTTAATTGTTTTTTATCATAATTTTTCCCCTGTTTTCTTTGCTCTCCCATAGCTATTTATTGTTTTGTGCTCTGCTTATTGGCTCTTCTAAGTATGTGATATCACTCAGATACATTCAATTCTGCATACGTCTCTGCGAAGTTAACTAGTCTCACAGCAATGACTTACTCCTAAGAAAATTTATCACATTGACAAGTTTGTTAAAAATCGTATTCACGGATATTCGAGGTTGTAAAATTACAAGATGGGAACAAGATTGAAATAATTTCAGCGATGCGTGACAAATGCTTAAGTGTGTTTCATCTACACTAGTATCAGATTGCTTGTCGTCTTCAACGTCTTCGGCAAAGAACATTTGACCTGCCGGTAAAAATGATTCAATTGTTCCCTTTCAACTCCACAATGAAGCTAAATTTTACCCTAAAACTTTCTTAAAAAATAGATCCTTTCGAATATGCCAAGAAAACCAGACACCCTCCGCCTGCTTACAGGATGCGATATTGTGGATGAGAATTTGAAACGAAAGCAGGGATAAAAACCAATCTGTCGTCATAAGCTATGCAAGGCTAGCTTATTTTATTGATTTCCTGATCGAAAATGGTGCTAACGGCTAAAATGTACTCGGTATTCCGGAGTTAACCATAGCGCACCTCATTAGATTATATCGTGAGGTGATTGCTGATGTTGTCATTTTCACAAAGTTCAGCCTGGTTTTTCCGTGCGGAAATGAAACGNAGCTTACACCTTAAAGAATATCATCGAGTCGACGGGGTTAAGAACTGCACTTACAGTTGATACTGGATCTGTTTGATAGCAGTGTTTTATCAAATCACCACAAACAAGTGTTTGCGATTGTAACTTTATAATACAACGTGAGAGGAGGTCTTACGCAAGAGGGTCCACTTTTGGTCCCTTCTGCTTGTCCTTTCCTGAAGACTGAGGCGGCTCAGGAGGAAGCAGGTCCACTGAGGTACCAAGACGTACCAGGGCCATGGAGAATAGCCGAGGAAAATACTCCAAGACCACCTCACCACTCTCTTCCGAGCGCAACATCTCAGTCAAACCACACGTGATCTGTCGGAGAGAAGGTCACTCAGCGTCAACGAGTACTCGACTCTAAAGTCACTCTTGGGAAACGATTGTCATTACTCTCGTTACCTTGGATAACGGTAAAAAATAACGTAATAAAATAATCGCGCCCAGAAGTGTGCGCCTGGCTTTTTAGATCAGGTTTGTATCTTAGCTCACCGCAGCAGGCTGTCCTGTCGCTATTCTGATAGTTTCTTTCTTGTTTTTTGGGTTTGGTTTCTCTTGGTAAGGCAGAGACCTTATAGATAAATCCAGAATGTAGTCGAAAATACTAAGGGATAGGTTCGCCTCGCCGGCCATTGTTTTCCAGATATCCAGCACGTGCCTAAAACAACAGAGAACCCTTAAAATACAGCAGGTCTAACTACTTTCTTGGCGTACATACCTCGAAAAGGAATTGGGAGAGGTGAGAAGGGAAATATAAATTCTACACCAGTACGTTTTTCTTGACAAGTGTCCGCGACATGCTTTTCTTACTGTAGTCTGATCGTGGAGTTAAAAGATATGTTGTCAGTAACAGCGACTGACGTTTTAAAAACGTGAGTGAAAGTCACCATCAGAGTTAATTTTTCCGTGATGTCTGAGTTTTTTAAGGGAAATTTACTCGTGCATATGTAGCTTTAGTACCTCTAGTTTACGTCAACTTGTCTTTGAAACAACAGAATTATGACAAGTCGGCACAAGAATCTAGCTTGATTCTTTTCGACTCCACGGTCACGTTTACAACTTACAAAAATCGTAGCTTTCTCGTCAGTATCCAAATAAGATCCTTCCCACCCTAAATTATGAGTTATTCACATGTCAACATATAGACATCGACATTTTAGCGAGACATTCTTGAGTTAAAATGAAAAATATCAACTCTTAGGCTTACTGGTCATAAGGCAATGGAAACTCTAGAAGTCCCGTGAGAACGGGAACTAGATGATGTGACGCAAGCGTCCTAAATACGCGAAGGGTTCCCGTCCTGGTCTGCGCATGTGTGATGTTCCCAAGACTGGTATGGAGTTCCTTCACCAGATTAGCAGCCTGCGAATAAGAATTCTGTTGAGTTACGTCATTGATTAAAGTCATAAGAATAAACATGAAATGATGCAAAGAATGTAATAATATGCTCATTTCAGACAAGTAGTACGGTAAAAACTCCAAGCCTAATATGGGAACTTTCTAGCCAAAGTGAATTTTTCACATGTTGATTTTCTTCCAAAATTACAAACTCACTGTTAACATAGTCTTGGCAAGCCCACATGATTTTTGAAAACACTTGAACAACACTTTTTACATCAAATCTAGAGGTAAAAATAAGGCGACAAACCTCTTCAAGTTCTGCTATTTTCTTTATGCGGTCGAATCTTACCTCTACTGACAATGACACGAAAGTAAAAATGCTTCAACGACTCTGACGACCATTGCAGCTTATATGAACACATTTTGTTGTTCATCTTAACCATTATCAAGAAAATAAGACATTTCATCTTTGAGTTCTTTGCCTTCTGTGAAAGATTCTATAAGATTAGCTGTTCGAGCAGTATCGCTTTTCACCGCTCTGTCGACTCTGCTCATCATTCCTCCCGGGGCGTAGGTGCATTTCCCGATCAGTGGATGGTTTTGATCTATTCCGTTAATGCTTACATCTTTCTTTATTTCTTGTCCTCTTATCCTGATGATGCTGTTGAGTACGACACATGAACCACTAGAACTGTGAGATTGACTGTCTGTTAAACCTTCCAACAAAGTGAGGACGAATGACGACATAAGCTCGCTCTGAAGCTTTTTGGCGACAACCTAGGACGAAAAAGTGACACAATAATGTAAACTACATGGAATGCTCGATAAAATTCTAGGTATCACTTTTGCGATGTCAGATGTTCTGAATAAGGCAAGTCGATAAAATGAAGTACCTTGGAAGTATAAACACCTTTAAGTTTAATAGCTCAAGGTCTCAAGCTTTGTGTAATTTCAGTGTTGTTAGATGTTGCAAACATCTGACAACACTGAATTTACAAAACGCTCAAGTGACACATTTCGTAAATTTCTTCGGTAGATTATTCTCCACACAGAATATTTTTCGGGTACGTTTTTCTACTCTCTCGCCTATTGGTATCGCTGGAAAACCACTGGAAATATTGTGCAGCGGCCCATAATCGTAAGCGCAACGTGCTCTATCGATACAAATTTTTCCGTCATTTGAGACTACTGGTAGTTTACGGGCGCGTCAGGACTGCAATAGTTGACGAAGGATAATGAAGGAAAAATAAACGAACTTTGCAACGATGGGTACAGGGAGATTTACCTTGGACAAGTCACTTGCTACGCTAAACAGAATATTGGGATCATCTTCTGCTGCTCTTTTTTTGAGAGTCGGTAACGCATCGACAAGTTCATCCTTACTTTCCAGAGAATAACCTTGAATCATCAAGCATAACATCAGATTCATTCTAGTGAAGGAACGCACGATTCTATTGGCAGTTAAACAGTTAGAATGGAGATACATTGGCATTTATTAGTTTTGTTAGTTAAGATAACTTCTTCACTACCATCGTTAATCGACTACTTAAATGAGAAACGAATTAGTGTTTAGAAATTCTTCAAGGCGGCCTACCTGTTCAGGAAAGAAACAAAGTTACGAAAACGTTGCGAATACCTTCAAAACGCGCAGCTATTTTCAGCACACACTGTACACAGTCCACCGCTGTTTGTCGGATGATCATTACCGGGTCTGTACAACGGGGAATGAGGCGAGCCAACAAGGGACCAGCCATGCTGAACGAAGTAGTTTTCTGTGGAAAAAACAAGTTTACATTTGTTAGGGTGAGACTGAGAACGAGAGAACAAGGGAACACTCCGCAATAAAACAAAATCAGAAATCAGAAAAAGCATGCTTTTTCGACGCAGCTTTCTACATTTTTTAATTTGTGAAACTTTTGCGACTTAAAGGCAAAATATTGAGGATTGCTGAATGAGGTCGGATTTCTTTCATGCGGTAGTATTCACATTTTTTATTATCCTTGACCAAGTTCCTGCTCCACATTCCCTATCAGGTGATATCGACTACTGACCTACACGCCTGCTAGCCAAGCTACTGCAACTGAGTACTCACCCCTCCCACAGTCAGTAACATGTTGTCGCGGAATGTCTGCAGCAGTGCGAGTATCGTCTCCACTGCCCGCTCACGTTCAACAGCAGCTGATGACACTAACCAGGGCTCATGAATGTGCTACGATCAAACAGGATTACAACACATTCCAATTTATTAAAAGCTTTTAAAACATAGTACAAATCCTGTATTTACACTAAATGGTTTTCGCATTATTAGCAAAATTGAACCTACCTTAAAAATGTTCTCAAGTGTAGGTGGGACTGGATCTTGAAGAAGTAGTCCTTTCAACAGCTTTTGTAAACTCTCTAGCGCTTGTTTCAGTAACACATTGGGATCTTTCTCCTGGGAAGGAAAACAATTTATCAAAACACCAAGGAACAACAAAACGTAGAATATAAACGTCTGTCTTACGTTAGTAATGGAAACAGCTGACAACTCTTTGATTCAATCAGAGTCAACATTTGTTAACGAGTGCGAGCAAAGAAATGAAATTGGGTCTTTTCTTAATTTTGAAGTGAAACACTTGTCAGTTGGAGAGATTTCAAAGAAAATACCAAATCAATCTTAGCAACAAAAGCACCTTCAAATGAAAATCCTTCCTTCTCTCCCTCAAATCAGGATGGAAGAGTCTCGGGTAAAAATGATTCCATTAAGAAGTAGAGCCTTGAAGTAAAGTGCTTACCGGGTCGATTTCAACTTTGTGATGTTTTCCTGCAGATGTAGGTCGGTCTCCACTGTGTACTGCAAACACACACTCCGTGCTTGTTTTAACAATATCAAAAACCTCAGCATCTGTGAATCTGGGATTAAGTTTCCTAATATTCAGTTAAGAAAATGGAAGTCACAGAAAGCCAAAAGCTGAGTTTTCAGTGAGCTCGAACAATTAGTTTTTAGCCTGTGAACTCACTTTGTGAACTCAATTTGTGTCACCACACATGGCTGTCGCAAACGGTAAGAAGGAACTTAAAATAAATCAAATTATAGTGCCTCTCTCCATCAGGAAGTATAAATGGGTAGAAGCGAATTGTCAGGGAAGCCTAGTGAAATCCTGGGAGGTGACTTTGCGACGGACTGGGCATCCCATTCAGGGGAGGGAGTGGTAACACTCTTAGTTCCTTCATGCTCTGGAAATCGGAATAAGTTCTGGCTTGATGAGCCACTTGGCCCGAGTACAGACTTTACCTAAATTAAGTCTCATGGCAAGCTTTTAACACGATTAAAGATTTGACGTGATCTCGAGAATAAAAATTCAAAAAGTTCCAGCAAAACGTCAAAGGATACGTTAAACTCGAGCATGCATCCATCGCCAGGGCTCGAGTCTCTGTTCTGACCATGGACGGCGGTTCTGCCTTCATATATGCCTAAGCGAAAGAGGTGCGGTCAAAATTTGGCCCTTAAAATCTACTGTTCTAAAACAATTCAGTACTAATTCTCCTAATTCTGATAAAATGTTTGATTCTGTTTGCTACTGATTTGTTACTGATTTGCAATCTTCTCCGGCACCCACCAGCATGTGATTGATAAGTTCCTTTCTTTTCGTGAAGGTAAAATCCGGTTGTTGAAGTCGACCAGGTTCCAGTGCTTTGCCAATAAGCTCAGTTGCTCGGATGAGGTTTTGTTTGACGTGCATATCCTGGAGAAAATCGAAAAAAAAGAGGTGAAAGATGCAAATCAAATATAAAAGAATTTATACTCATTATTGAAAACAGATGTAAGATCAGTGAGGATGCAAAAATGTGTCAAATGAGCAATCAATTTCGTAATCAATGTTGGTTGGAAACAACACACATCATGAAGATTCGAAAAAAAATTAACCAGTCCTCTTTACCTTCACGTTTCCGTAATGGCGACTAATGACTCGAAAAACACTGGTCTCTAGTCTGGACGTTATCAAACTGAAGAGAGATTAAACAGGACTTAGGGTCTTTCTGTAGTGCTGCCATGCGAATCCTTACTGCGCATGATACTACAGACTACCAGCGCGTGTTATGATATTTATTACGTTATAGGAGTCACTTGTTGCCGAGCGCAGGAACTACCTTTGGTTTTGTAGCAATGCGATGGTAAAAAATACAGAGGTAATGAGAAGTAAGATGGAACAAGGATGTTTAAGGTCTCCCCACATGCAGGGCTCGACACTAACTTTTTAACTTACTAGCCAAGTGGCTAGTAACATCTTAGGTGTTTTTAGATGTTACGACAATTTTAGTCTGTTTACTAGCCAAACTGGCTAGTGGAAATTGAAAACCACTTGCCAAAACTGAATTTCTACTGGTCTGTGGCTAGTGGGCTACCGTTAGTGTCGAGCCCTGCACATGATGGAGAAATAAAAAGGACTGGAAATACAGAAACTGTTTAAAACATTAGCAAAGTCAGTATTCACATCAAAATACTTTAAACATCCCTCAATGATTCGATTTAGCACTAGGGGAACTTATTCGTCAATCGTACCACTAGCTACGGTGCTTATTTGAAACAGGGCACTTATTAGGGACGGGGCGCCTATTTTTTCTTCTTTTTGAATAAGTTGCAGAGGGATGGGAACGAAGCTCTAATGTTCATTTGAAAAGGGACGATAGCAGAAACCCTAAAGTAACATATATAAAGTGAATATTCCAATAAAAGTGTTGGGAATGTACTCTAGCAGTGCTGTCACTGAAGCAGAAAAGGGGCGTGTATTGCAAGGAGGGTGCTTACGCAATGGAGCGCTAATTGGAATAGGGGCACTTATTTTCAAAAACCAAATTCGAAGGGGGTGCTTACTGGGAGGGAGCGCTTACTGGGAGGGGGCGCTTGCTGGGAGAGAGCGCTTACTGGGAGGGGGCGCTTACTGGGAGGGAGCGCTTATTGGGAGGGCGCTAAATCGAATCATTACGGTTAACATTTACATCAGAGATCGACATACAACTTCAGCATAACAACTCCTATGCATCTCTTGTAATACTGATTGAACTGACTGTGAACAAGTTTTCAGGTAAAAGATGTACATATTTTAACTAACCCTGGTGGACCGTACAGGACCGTATAACCATAGCATAACATCACTGTGCTCTTGATTTTTTCTGTTTCAGGATCGGATTTATCCTGAGGAAAAAGAACAAGGTTACAAGAATGTGACTGTTTTTTTTACTGTTTCATGACATTATCATCGATTCCCAGCTTTTGCTCACTGCGCATGCCTATTACCCAGGCGCCTCTCTGCTAAAAAAAGATCATGAGCGCGCACGAGAAGAAGACGATCTGGCGTCATTGGCGTCATTTCTTTCTTTCTTTTACGGTCCTTGTGCTTTGAGCTCGTCACTAGTTGCTCGCAAGTTTCACGACTTCACTGGGATGGAGGAGAAGAGAAACAAGTGCATCATTTTTCAACCAATTATAACAAGGAAACTAGTCCTTTGACCCAAACGTAAACTAAAAGGAATTCTCGCGTTTTTCAAGTTTAGTAGTCCCATGTTATTCTAGAAATATGCATCATGGCCCAACATGTTGGATTGGAAAACAAGCACAACCAATCCTTATTTTTTTGTGGATACGCTCCTTTGTTCAATCGTAGTCAGTGCTTTTATTACAACTATACCTTCATAAAACTCAAGATTCCTGAAGATTTTTTGGACATCTCATTTTTAGACACCTGCTCCAGTTTCAGTAACACTTGGTCAAGACTGGTGCCGGCAGAAAATCCGATGCCTATTGCACATCCCTGAAATAAAAAAAAAAAAAAGAAGAAAAACAGATATCTCAGCGTCACAGACTCACTCCTTTGAGCGCCTAGCGCCTAATTGAGGGCACCCGCAGTTTTAGTTCTGCAAGTTCTCTGGACAAAATTGCGTTGAACTCAAGGCTTAAAAAAATTGTCATCTTGAAAAGACCTAGATCTCACCTCTCTCTCCAGCTGACTTGAATGCTTCACAGAACTAAACATAATGTTGAGGTGTTTTTGAACAAAATCTTTGTTTCCTACTTTGTTCAGAACTACACCAAGGCTCTTATAGAGGAAGTTCTGTACACGAGACAAAAAACCAAAACAAAAAAACAAAAAAAAAAACCAAAAGCGCAATCAGTAACATGACGCAAAATCACAAACCATCTGTCACACACCCCTCCATTACTGGTCTACAAAGACTCGATGAGAAGAAGGAAATAAGCTCAGTTTATACGATAAGCGCCCCGCATGCTAATGAGATCAGAAATAGAAAATAAAATAGCAGAGTTTGACCTTGATCGTCGAATGGAAAACCATGTTGTTCATCTGTGACGAAAGAGGCTTAAAAGAACAATTCCGAACGGTAGTGACAATGTTACCTTCTCTTCTGGGAAGTTTGTATAGAGTGATAACTGATCTGCCATTTCTGCTCCAAGCGAACACACCCATTCCTCCGAATCCACCTCATCAACACTCTTCGAAACAAACTGAAAACGGAAAAAAAAAGGCAAAGTTCTATGCTACTCAAACATCTCTTAACCCTTAAACTTCTAAGAGTATCACCCCTGATTCAAGTATCAAGATCATGAGAATAAAAGAAATGATCGCTATCCCAAGAAGCTCTTGATTGTTAGATAAAGTACAATAGGAAACGTACGGTGAATAGTGTGGAGAAGCGATAGAGCTATTGAAATGGTTCTATTCTAGAAGATGTTGTTCTCAAATACTTGGTTTACAGTTAAGAGAGGACCAAAGAGGCGGAAAAGTAATCTTGTTTATGTTATCTCCAGATTTAAGTTTGCTAAGTGTATCCAAAGGTTCACCCTTTCACTCCCAAGATCTCATTAGTAATTCTCCTTACTGTCTGCTATACAACTCTTATGATGTTAGTTTGGAGAATTTGTCATTGGATCAACTACCAATCCCCTAATTAACAATTGGTTCATGCTTTAGCGTGCAGTATCGAGTTACGGAGCACGCGGGAAGTTTGGAGAGCACGAAAGAAGCGTAAGAGTTGCCCGAGGCAATAGCCGAGGGCAACTCTAGCTTCTTGAGTTGTTTTTCTCGTTTTCTGCTTTATTTAAGAACTCTAGCCCAAGGGAAAAGGTCGGAAAATTGTCTTCGTTTTGGGACTGGTGGGCCGAGTCCCTGTTTGTATCCATTATTGTCGCGAAATATATTATTTTTCCCCGCGCTAACAATGGCCGCTCGCGCGAAAAAAAAAGAATTTCTGGCGAAGCGATTTGCTCACGCTATCAGCATGCACTATTGAGATTTTGAGCACGCTTACGTATATTGAATTTGATTGCACGGCTCTGCTAGCTATGTTATAATTAATATTTTTCTTTGTTCTCATCACTCGTCTGCTCGACAGTATAAAGAGAACTTCTGGCGTGGTCACTCATGGGAGTTTAATTAAGGCCGGATTAAAGTAGCCTCAATGGTCAAGTAGAAAACTATTACAGAATTAGCTACTTCTGAATTCTCCTCGGATCTTCATCGAGAGAAGAGATCTAAACACTGATAACTTCAATGACATCATTGTTAAAATAGAGGCTTCGCGAGGAATTCAGTCTCTTTTCATCGTCTTTTCCTAGTTTCTATCCAGTGTAATTTTCAATTGAGTGTCTAATAAAGCCCGGGATTGCTTTATTTTTGTTTTACTTCGCTCTGTGATTGGTCCAGAAAAGTCACGCCACTTTCTCAACCAACCAGATGCAAAACCAAACACGACTTTGTCGCCCACGTTTTCCCGCGCTTTGGTCGGTTTGGTCGGTTTTACTTTGAGTCCTCATTGGCTCTTAAAACTACTTTCTTTTCTTCTGATTGGCCGGTGTGAAAACTTTGTTTTTGGTTCTACAACACTCAATCGAAAAGCACTCAGCCCCTTGCTTACATCTCTGTCTTCCCTCAGGTTTCACTCACCTTCAGTACCAAGTCCTCCCAACCCTTTTGACTCCATTTCTCTTTATCCTCCGAGTTTTCTGCGAGGACGAAGTAATAACATTACGCATATCCAACGAACACCGCACTTTCTACCCCACTTTCAATATTGCTCTCTTATTTGGCATTTTTCTGGCAATAGAAATTGCGATAAACTAGAGTCTTTGAACAAACGTATTTTACGATTTATTTTTAATGACCCATTGTCTAGTTATGGTGATCTGTTAAACAAAACAAAGATAGCATCCTTATATACTGGAAGATTATACAAAACTCTAATTGTAGTTTTCAAGAGCTTATTTGTTTCTATGTATCCTGGATATCTAAAAGGACTTTTTGTTCTTCGTAATTAACAATTATTCCACGAGCGCGCGTTGGATATGAGTTGGCTATAATCATCTCATATCCAACAAACACGAGTGGAATAATTGTTTTATTAAAAAAACGCCCCCAAACTATTAGACAAATCTTTTCGACTTTATTTTGTGAGAAGAAACCGGATTTAACAACGTACAGAAATCAGATTATGGTATATTGGCTCATATACCATAATGGCTGAGCCAATAAAAAGTCTTGAATTGCATTATCCAATGATCCAGTTTTTAATAATTACAGGTATTCACTGAGAGGAAAGAATATTCTGACTCTACCTATATCAAAAACAACAAAATATGGTCTTGAGTGCCGTGCATCCGATATCAAGCAGCAGAAACTTGGAATTCGCTCCCGGACAGCATGAGAACAATTATATCATTTAAAGATTTTAAGATAGCCCTAAGGAAAATGAACTTTTAGTAGTAATTTTTTATTATTGTATTGGTAGTAGTTCCATTTATAATTTGACAGACTTGTGTATTTTTCTTTCTCGAAGATATTAGCTCAACAGAGCTACTCTGTATGTATGTATGTATGTATGTATGTATGTATGTATGTATGTATGTATGTATGTATGTATGTATGTATGTATGTAACACATAAATTTATAAAAACTCGAAGTTTGGGATTAAATTTGATCAATGATGCATATTTCTTGAACTTTTGACGCACCTTCTAAATACTGCATGAGTTTAGGAATCACCACGTTCCACATCTCAACCAAGTTAGGTTCTAGAATGGGTACCAGAACCTTAAGAAGCTTCAGCACGTTATCTCCGCGACCATCCCCGGGCAGAGGAATTCCCGCCATTACCTGTAAACAATAGGGTGTGAAGTGGCGATTAAACGAATTCAACTAGGTTCACAAATAAGGTTTAACCCAAAGTGTGCGCCAATTACTTTCACTAGAATCCGTTCTGTAAGGCTTTAAGAACACAGCCAGACAAGCGTCCATACCTTTTTTCTTTCTTTTTTTTTTGCGTTATTCCGACCGGCGGAACCACGCACGGGACAAGCACGAAAAGAGCGTCAGGGAAAAACACGTACGTAGAGGAAGAGCGCAAAATAAATGATATGTGAAATGAAACGCCAATATTTTTTCTCGCTTATTCGCTCGTCTTGCTTTTCATGCAGCCCACCCTTGCTTGAAAAACGCAAGGAAGATGACGTTCTCTTTGTAAGCTTAACGTACATCAGAACAGTCCCAGTTTACATTACGAGAAAAACGGAAGGATTAGTAAGATGCATAGCAAGCCACACCGCCCAAGAGAACAAACGAAGGAACTAAACTATTTTGTAACACGGCCAGAGTCTGAGGCTATGCTCCATAGGTGTTGTTAAAGATTGCTATCACCATTCCTTACAACGTTGTGAAATGTAAGAACAAATTAAACATAAATAGTTGCAAAATTCGTCTCGTGGGCGTATCGACCGCTATCGCATCGATTCCCCCGATCTGAAAGCTTCTGTAAGGTCAGTGTTTCACCATCACCACTGACCCATCACTTCTGACCCATCGTCTGTGCGACGCACGCGGTCAATAGAAGCTTTATATGAGCGCAAGGTGAGTGGGTAGGGCGAAAGTGAGAGAGAGAGAGAGAAAAAAAACTTCTTATTCCCCTTTCGACCACCCCTTTCTCAACTTCCTCGAACGCCTGATGCGCGCAAGTTATAGTAATGGTATGAGGAGCAAATCGTTGCAAATTCTTAACGAAGAAGGTCACTACTCACTAATAGACGTGAGATGATGGCTGCTGGCCTGGGTATGTTGGCTGCAATGAAAAGGAACACACTAGTTTAGTATCTATCAGATGGTATGCTGCTTTTACACATTATGCTACAGTTCAATTTTATCCTTGCTTCAAAATTTTCTGTTCATTAATGTATGGCCATAGAATTGCATGATAGTCATTTTGCACCAAAAAACCACAGAAGTAAAAGTATAGAGAAAACCGTATAAAATTCAGAGAATAAAGCAAATTTTTACAATTTCAGGTGTTAACACCTATACGTGAAAACCGTAGATTCCACAAGGAAAATAAAAAATTTGCTTCATTCCGTTTTTTGAAAATTATGAGCCAGTGTTGAGGTGATACACCTGATTTGATCGTTTCAGTATTTCCAGTGGATCCTGATGTGTTTTGAACCTTATCCTTCTATTTTACACATAGAAAACGCCGAATTGATGGCTCGTATAAATGAATTGCACCCCTTGATTCATGACAGGAATATAATCAATAGTCCAAGCCGCAGCATGCACAATCAAGAACGTGACTTACGCTTCGCATCAAAATCAATACTGAAATCCGCTGCTTCCTCCTCTTGTTTCTTGGTTGCCAGGTGACAGATACATCGACAGAGAGGATTCATGGCAGGAGTAAATGATTCAGGAACAAGGCACTCCAGTAAGAATGGCCACAGTACCTCCAAAGGAACGGAACCATTGACAGCGGTAGGAGTAACACTCGCTACACACTCCAACAAAATTTTTCTGGAGCTAGGTAGAGTACGTTCGCGATTCCTGTGTGTTTTGTGAGAGCACATTTTGGCATTTTTCTACTTAAACAGCTGAAAGTTAAGAAGATGGGGTAATATTTACAAATCTTATTACTTAATTTATTGGGTTAAACAGAGGGAACTTTTACAACGAGTCGAGATGCAAAGAGTGAGAAATTACACATAACTTCCACGCAGATGTCCAGTTTTTTCTTAATTAGATTTATCGCTTTTATTTGTTGTATTGAAGATAATCAATTTTTGCGGCGCTTTATTTTGCGTTTTTTTAAGTTGAGCCTGAAAGACAATCCGACAAATATGCAAAACTCTGAACGCGCCTTTCCTTTCTTTGTCATGACTATTACTTACAGGTTCCATGACATCCACTGTTGTGGTCAGAAGGAAAAGAATGTTTTCACACATCTTTTGAAGAGCTTGAGGAGTTATGGAATCTGCGTCGGTTGGTCTTCTGGTTTTCTGTAGAAATAATCATTCAATGATCTTACCCCAAAGCCTTAAAGTACAACGAGTCCTTGGTAAGATTTAATTATCCTTATAGAGCGCCTTTCGATTGAATGTCGTTAAACCAAAACCAAAGTAATCACAAAGGCCAATCAGAAGAAAGGAAAACTTAAAGAGCCAATGAGAACTCAAAGTAAAACCAAGCAATCTGGCTACAGCGCGGGAAAACGTGGGCGACTAAGTCATGATTGGTTTCAGTTTTGCATCTTATTGGTTGAGAGAGTAGCGGGAGAGTTTTCTCGACCAATCACGTGCTAGGTATGTTAAAGCGAAAGCAATCCCGGATTACTTTGGACACTAAATCAAAAATTGCTTCAATCCATTTCGAAAGTTAAACACACTTCTTTCATTACAAAAACTGTAATTTTGATATAAGAAAAGAAAAAAAAAAACGCCAACCTCTTCATCGCTCAGTGCACACTGTTTAACAATAAATTTCACCAGTTTGTGGCCGCCTTCCAGCTCAAGGTACCGATGATGAGCCATGGCGGTTATACACTGAGCAAACATATGTCGCACCTAAAGGAAGTGAAAAGATATTCATTAAGTTATAACATTGTGAAAGTTTTTCCAAAAGATATAGATAATCAAATGCTAGGAAGCATCGATTTTCACTGCTTCGTCGGTAAAATTGCATTCTCAGAGTTTTACGGTATATTTCTCTTTTTTCAATTATAATTTCGCACAAATTTTGTTTGGATACCCAATCACAGGCAATTGCTTCTAATCAATACAGACTAAAGCCTTTGCCTATTTTCTCCAAATTTTCACACTTTTAGAATGACGGTCAGCAAATTTCACAATTGTTTTCAATAAATTTGTTCCACAGGTGTGAAGACAGATCGGAAACATCAATGTTCGCAGATAAGGACGTGTCTCCAAAAAAAAGGAAGATGGGCCGTCAGGATATCGAGTTTTCTGATTACATGCTACACTCGGAATTTTTTGCCCAATCAGTAGTTTTACCTTCAAGTTTTGGTCGCTAAACAGAATCTGAACGCCTGCGATAATCAGTTCTTCTTTGTTCTCTAAGTACGAACCTAAAATAGGCAAAAGTAAGTGACTTATCAAACTAAAGCTGGACAAGATTTCACAACAAATTGGACCTGAATCCCCTACACTAGAGTTGCAACGTACCAATACGACATAAGATTAAAAAAAAAGACAAATCATGACGCTATAGCTAAGTATTCAGGGCATGTTGAACTCACCAGAGGAGTTGACTAAATGTTTAATAACTGCCAGAGATGCAATTCTTGTCTTTTCATTGTTAGCCTCCAACTTTTGAAGCAAGAATGCAATGACACGGTCTGAGATTGCTGGTGCTACAGGAAAAAAATAGACACAGACACCCTTAAAAAGTTGCTTTATCGCGCAAATTACTTGCATTTAGATGATTTTTATCTTCAGACCTGTTATCTCTGTTTTTTCTCTCTAATGCTTCATGCAACATATAAACGCAACTAAAATCAAAGAGAGGGGACCAGGCCCTAGAGACACTACACAAATGAGTGGTGGTCTGCAAGCATAACAAACGTTTTAAGGACTAGATCCTGGAGACCCGTGGAAAAATTCAATTCTATTCTATACAGTAACAAGGCTGCGCTCTAAGGAAATTTGAATGGAGCCCAGCGCTCTGAAACTGTGAAATCCAGGGTGCCCAGCATATGTTTTGTATGAAAAAACTAAAATTTCTGAGTCGCCCGAGAGCAAAAGTAAGGTGCCAGGGGCCACCGGGCACTTTTAGAGCACAGCCTTGCAGTAAAATTTAAAAACTTGACAAAATGTTGTTCTAGAGAAGACTAACTTCACTTACTAAGAACAGAAAAACATCTCAAAACTTCATTGTGATTCTTGACTGAGATTGGATTGGAAAAATCTGGCATGTTACAAGCCTAGAAAACAACAAAATAAGAAACAGAGAAGTGTGTGACTATAGTGTCCATTGAAATAAGTGGTTATTGGTTGACTCCTGTGACCAGGGTTTGCTTCAACACCCTTGGATCCCATGGAATGAGTTTGTTGTACATCCTCATCTCTGCTCCATAAATTCTTTTTTCTTAGCGTTCTACTTTCCTTCCCCTTTTCCTTCGCAAAAAAAAATTCTTTCTACTCTACTTGGACAACTCAATAAGCCATTAAAAAGTATAGCATCAATTTGGAGGTATTGCAATGTTCTTTCAAAAATAAATTTAGACTAACAATTGATTCTGGGCTAATATGTCCCAGATATCAACCAAAAGAAAATTTTAACTAAAAAGCAATGGGGCTACCGGTATTATAATCCACTAGGGATCAACCAGTAGTAACAGCTGTTGGTGAAAAAATAAACAGTCAGTACTACTGGTATTTTTCAAAAAGCACTTATTTGAAATTTAATTAAGAATCAGTGCCAATTCATTTTAAACATAATCTGCATCAACGTACTTGACAATGTGAAAAAGCTGAATAATATCAAGTTCAGCTAATAAAAAATATTCTGGGCAGGAAAAAAATCAAATACTACTAAAAAGAACCACAACTAATTTCAAAGTTTACCATGTTGTGCAATCCTCCCAATAAATTGTCCACCAAAGGAAACAGTATTTCACCACCATCTTTACAAGAAGCTTCCAAAACCATACAAAGACCCTGCAGAAATGTAAGGAAATAGCCTATGAATCGAAGATAGTTACACATGCTTTAGTGTAAACCTTTACACTGTGACATCAGTATGCATATTCTCCATCCTGTTCCTTTTAAAGTACCCAAGGCACTGATGAGGAAAATTCGTATAAGAATTAATCGAGAGCTTCAGTCTTTAATTGGTGATTATTTGCTTGATTCTTGTGACCTTCATATGTGATCCAGGGGTGATATTGTCAGGAGAAATTAGAGATCAAAGGGTTAAGCCTCTGAATGGAGAAAATTTTTACTAGAGGAACATTTCAGACATAAAATTACAGCAAACTTGGCACTTATCAGAGCAAAGAAATTACTTTTACTTATAGCAAATTCTTACCTGTGTAATGAGGTAGTGTTCTGTGTGTTTTTTGTACAGGGCTGTGATACCAGGCAGTAACTTTGGCAACTGCTCTTCTAGCTTGTCTTTTGCCATAATGAGGGTCATGTGACCAATAGCATCCACAACAGCTAATCTAATCTAGAATACAAATAATATTATCTTCTAAACCAAACCCAAAAAAAGCAACCATATGTAAGTATTAAAGTACTGTACTGTCAATAAATCAAATTTATTCTTAGTTATATCTTACCTTTGCTTCACTGGCTCTGATCCACACACTAAATAAGATGTCATAAGCTGATGATATTTCACCATAAAACCTGTCAATTGCAATATCAGGGTATGGTGCATTCTCTGCATTTGCAACATAGTCAACAATGCTCTCACAAAATCTGGCAAGACCTGTAAGAAAAACATCAAACATGAAAATAGGTATGCTTTTAAGGGTCCATCCAGAAAATAAATCTCTCCAGAGACCTGAAATACAGAAGCAGACTGCTGCCATTAAAAGGTCAGGAATTATATTTTCAACCATCCCTTATGCCATGCATGAAAAAACATGCATTACTATACCACAAGAATACCTTCAAGGAAGCTGTAAGGTTTAGGTTGAAATAAAACTTTTCTTGATTGCAAGACAAGCAAATGCACTTGTTCTTTGTTATTGATTTGGCACAAATGTTTTCAGTTTGAACTTTCTAGAACCACATTTTCTGCAGTTTAAATCTAATGCAACATGCTGTTGGTCTAACTCTTTCCCTTACAGTTAGCAATGACCCATTTCAAATTGTCTTGTTTGGCCATTCCCATCATGGGCAACATGCGGCCAAGGATGTCTTTCAGGAAAGGCACAACACCATAGGCTGAGAGAAAGAACAACAAAAAAGAAATTTAACTGCTTGCCCACTATACCTAACCATTAACAAAATACCATTTACTGTGAGATTAAATTTTCTATATTTATTCAACTGATTCCCCTTTTATAGACCTCCTACTTCCTGTCCATTTTACCTCTCCCCTCCCCTCCCCCACTCCATCTCCACTGCTAATTCTAATAATTAGAGTACATGTACAGCTCATAACAGCAAACCAAGATTAAAATAAAGGTGGGGGGGGGGGGAAGTGGGTTTCTTAAGTAATTACTTTAATTGATAAACTGAGTTGATAACATAAATTGGCCACTAAAGAGAGTTTCTGAGGCTAACGTTTCAAGCATTAGATCTTTGTCAGGGGAATGAAGATGAAAGAAATCATGAAAATCTTCAAGATTTCAACATATCTGTATCAACAGAAAAATGTACACTGTTTACTACTCACGATTAGAAATAGAGAACGATGCCAGAGTCTGCACAACAAAGTAGTGGGGCAGTGTGCCAGGAGCTAACTTGTCCAGGAGCTCTGCCATAACCTCATGATCAAACCTTTTTCCCAGAGCAACTAACACCTCAGAGGCTGCAGACTGCCAATCAGGCTCTACTTCCTTAATATTAATCACAAAATCAACACCACTTTTTTAATGCACCCACCTTTACTAAGTGTACTACTTTTGTTATTTCTTACATTTCCATATCACCTGTAATATATTACACTGAACAGACATGTGGCAACATATATTGCAAGGGTTTTGATATCATAATCTCATTCTTTAGCTAATTTTTCCTGAAGAACCCCAACCTAATTCTATAAGAAAAAACTTCTTAATACGCTTTATACCAAATTAGCTAGGTTCACATATAGCAATATTTTAATTCACCCTAAGCAATGCAAATGACAGACGATCAGGTAGTGGCAGACACTTAAATGAAAAATAATTATGGGATAACTAAAATACCAACTTGTTTTTTAACTAAGAATTGACATGATGCTTTTGGCTAAAATAGCAGCAAAAGTGAGAGAGAACAAGTACAGGATTTTTAATCATAGCATTAAGCACTCTTACTTGTAGCAGAATAGTGTGAACAGCAATGGCCTATTACCAAGCCAGTACAGAAATATCATTGTACTCATCACAACATAAATCTCCAAATTTTGTTAGAATCAATTTACTTCCAAAAGAAAAATAAATAAAAATAGACCTAAAATGCAGGAAAATGCATCTTTGGGAGGTGAAGACCCTTCTAGGAACAGAAATTCACTCAGGCTCTCAAAAAAACCTATCCACCAGCTAAATGACCTGGAATTACACTAAATTTGATGAAAACCAGTTGTAAAAAGCATAAAAATAAATTCTATTGTACCTACAGGACTATAGTTGGGTTCCCTCATGACATATTATCATTATCATTCTTATTAACGTTATTACTATTATCATTTATTATAATTATTATTCATTATCATTATTATTACTAGTGTTACCTTGCTCTTGGTCATCTCTGCTGAAGCCAACTTGATCATTTGCTTTCCTAAACCCAGTGACAGTGTACTTAGTGTGTCATGAATAATCTTTGAAGCTGAATTCAGGAGAACAACCCTATGACCCTGACTGAGCTAAAAACAAAATAAAAAAGATAAACTCATGATGCTTGTTTACTAGACCCTTTTACTCCAATTCTATAACTATGATAAATTAGTATTGCCTTTATGTAACACCCTTTAGCTAATAAGTTTGTGTATCATATTTAGATACCTGCAGGATAACATAATTATTGATATTTTCCCATTGATATTTGAACAAGAGTCAAAGGGATTAGAAAGTAATGTAGTAAAGCTATGTCAAAAAAGAAAAGAAGTTGGTACAGTGCATATCAGATTTACATCAAACTATTGGTCTATCACTGACTTTGTCACCATATTTTTGGCTCTCTCTATTCTACACCCACTACTTAAAAAAAATAGGTGTCTGAGTGAATCTGTATAGAGACATATATAGACAAGCCTCCCAACAAAAACCCTGACCACCGCAGAAGGTTAAAAGGGCAAGAATGTTATTTTAAAATTTCAGGACTATAGAAGATTGTCCTAAGGGTTCCTTTGTCACATCTTCATTATTTGCTAGTCTTCTATAAATCTGCATGAATAAACACTAGGAATGGATATCAATGAACACGCATCAAACAAAATTGCCTATAATTTTCATCATCAAACTAACCTTCTGATGTTTGACGAGATACCCTTTGACAGCACTTAGAACCATTTCCGGTTGTTTCTTTCCAAGTTCATGCAGAGATGTCATGATCATCTGTCGCACTTCATGCTTTTTATCGTTGGCAGCATCAATAAGAGCCAAACAAAGTTCTAAAGGAAGTAAAATTAAAAAAGGTTATGTGCAGATACTAAGTGGCTTTTAGGTGAAAACACTTGAAATGCAGGTTAAATTTCTGGGTGGGTCTATGTGTCATGTTCTAGGGCAAGATGTTTTACTCTCAAAGTTCCTCTCTTCATTCAGGAGTTTAAAGGGGAAGTCACATACAGAGCTGTCAAGGAAACCTGAAAAAATTCTGAAAGGTTGCCTGCGATGACAAAAAACCATCCCATCCTAGTGGAGTACCAACACCACTAGTTACTATAGAAGCTGAAACAAGTTGTGACAGGTCAAGCCTGTCCCTAGAGCTCCAAGCAATTCTCTGTATTTTGGATCAGTTGGTAGATCACTAGGCAGTAAAATAGGAAATGACTGGGTTTCTTGGTATATGAAAAGAATATCACTGATCAATGATTCAACAATCAGTTAAGGAAGCAGTATCCAGGTGAAGTGCTACTACATGCCAAAATCAAGTATGATCACACAATTATGTAAACTGAAAATCATAGTTTCATTCCAGGCCAATCACTTTGTTTAGTGTCATAAATAAACATTGATCATATCTCTGTACATAATGAGTACTTTTTTTCTGCATGCTACTCTTAGACACAGTTCTCCCATAAAAATATACAAATTTAGTTAAAACTAGGTAAGTAGGTATATCAGTTAAGCTGAAATCGTAAATTGGCCACCGTAACATGTTAAAAAGCTTTATAACTCATTACAGTGGCCATTTTATAATTTCAAGTAAGTGGATATACCAAATTACCTCGTTATCCCCACCGAGGCAGTACCACAGTTTCTTTAGAAACTTTCACTTTTATTAATTAAAACTAATTTTACAATTGTTTAGACAATATATACAACTAGGAAACAACCCTACTAGCGAAAATGTGCCGTGGAATAATTTAAACTAATAAGGCAAAATGACTTCTGTTTCCACATCTCTCTAGTTCCCCGTTCATAGCTAAAGTTCGGCATTTGTTAGCGACTGGGAGATAAAATAGTAAATCGATCCTGAGGATCCTGTGGAGCCATTAAAATGAAGAAAAAATTGGTCTCAAATACTTTTATTAGAAACTTTAGAAACAGTATTGAATATATAAAAAAACAGCATAGCTGCCATCTAAAAAGACACATAAGAAAAGAACAGGGAAACTACTGTAAGGTTACGTACCAACACCTACCCTAAGTTAACCTTTACTTCGGAAACCGTACTCTTTTAAAAGTTTCAGCTCCTCTAAATTTCAGGTTTCCCGTTTTGGAGCGGGGGGAATGGGGGCGCATAAATGCAGTATATAAATCAGTGAAACCCTTAACGTTTCAAGATTCCAAGTTTTAATTTTCCGAGAATGAATATTTAGGTCACGAGTTTAATTTGGGACCATGGTTTGAACAAAGCTGGCAAGATGTAATCACGTACCATCAACTTGGCCTCCTGTTTTCTTCACTTCGTCTTCTGCCATCTTAAAACCTGTTTATACCTCTTCAAGTCGTCGAAAAGAAATTCATCTGTGCCGAAAAAAGAGCTAGTATGCGAGAAATTACCCACAGCTGAGATGTGAATTTTCGAAACCCTTCCCCTCGGAGAGAAACCGCAGAACTATTGAGCTATACCGCAGGCTCAAAGCGCGCCAAAACACGGTGGGATTGTGGAGTTTACGTTGGAGAGATTTCGTTATGGAGTTTGTAGGGGAAGATGTGTTACTGATTATATTTTCCTTCCTGGACGAGAAAGCGCTGTGCATTACGAGTCAGGTTTGTCGACGTTGGAACAATATCTCTAACTCCAACGTTCTGTGGAAATCGCATGTAAGACACCTTTGCAAACGTCGCAAGATTGCAGCTCATCTCGGAAGAGCGGAAGACTGGAAAACGCGCTTTACACAGCTAATCACAGGACGTCTGTATCCTAGAACTTCTACAAAGACAGAAGAGAAGCTTAGTTTTGATGCTTTGCGTGCCATGCTAGTTCCTGTGGGAGCTGGAAAGTTTGTCGAACTGACGATCAGGAAAAAGACTCCAATTCGTGAGTTTGTTGAAACACATGGGTTCACTTATGTTCTCGGAAAGGCATTTTACCAGCACTCGAAAGGCGAGACGATAAGTATGAAAAAGAACATTCTGCTTCAAGAAAAAAGTAGTGGACAGTTGTATGAAGGAAAAGCTGTCAGGGAGTTGTTGGGATTAACAAAGGGCTCCTTCGATTGGAATATTCAACCTTCCAATTTTGACAGTCGCATTTCAGAGTTTTATCGTGTTTTTGTTCAGAGTACCTCGGTTAATAGATCTCTAGTTTCGTCAACTCGCCTCCTTTACAAGCAGTGTTAAAATACTCTTGTGATCATGACGAAATGTACTCGAAACGCATCATTGATGTAGGCTACCTATTACTATATAATTGTTCACCGTCATTAGTATCGTGTCCTCGGTAGTATAGTGGTGAGTATCCCCGCCTGTCACGCGGGAGACCGGGGTTCGATTCCCCGCCGGGGAGATATGGTACACTTTTCTTTTTCCTTTTTTTTAAGTTTTCCTTTTTGAGCTTTAGGCACACGCTAAGGACAGCTGATGAATACTATAGAGAGAAACCACAAAAGAGGTGTTTTTAAGTACAGTACAAGCATTCATTTCTCACCATTTTCTTCAAACACACCATCAAGCCACCATTTTTCTAATGGCGAGCTTGCAGTGTTAACTTACCCCAATGAGATGCCTGCACCGCGTGCCTGTTATTAAAAAAGAGTTATTAGAGTCCACATTACGGTAGCAGTCCCTCTTCCCCAAGCCTCTCTTTATTTGGAAATATTTTCCGTGATTCTTAATTGTTTCTCCATTCCGTTCCATAGGGAAAAATTTTGAAACTTCCTGCGTTAAATCTTTTGATGTTGATGAGTGTCATTTCTTTTTTCTTAAGGTAATTTCCTGCTTACATTTGAAGCGGGTGAGAATTTTACAAGAGCCATCTAATTAATCGTTAAACCTCTGCAATTCTTTATGGTCAGCTGTTTCCCATTTGAGTATTTTTTAAGAACTTATCCAGTCGTTTTTTTTCCGATTGTTATAAATTCCGATACGTAGATTCTCTCTTCAATATTTAAACAATTCAACGACCTGTAGTAGCCTTTTGTTGTCTGATATTTCTGGTTCGACCAGTCTTTCTGAAAAAAGCCCTTTTCATAAGCGGTTTCCTGTGCATAATTTATACCATTGACACGAACCACTTTTCATTCGCAACTCAAAGATTCTTGGTCGATCACCGTGTAAGAGACCCCCAAAATACGGAAACTAAAGAAATGGATAAGGTCGATAAGTGGGGAGGCACGAAGAACGGAAAGATGACACGTAGTCGATAGATATCATTTTAAAAAAAAAAAAAGGTCTTTTGTTTAGTTACACGAATGGCATTTAATAATGGCCAAGTTATTTCTTTCGATTTCAAATATTTGGATTGCCATGTTGGGTGTTTATTCAGTTACTTACGTGGCCGGGAGTTTATTTTTTGATATGGAAATCATGTAACGAAGATCTAGCGGCGAAATACAAAGTGAAAATAGAAAATTCAGACACTTGAACACCTGGATAGCGAGACAAAATTTACAAATTAAACCAGAAACGTTGACTGAAAAAATGGTGACTAAAAAAGACAAAAGAAGCGCTACAAAAACAATTTGTCTACCCGTTCAAATCTTTTGTTCGTCGATCGTTTAATTACACCACATCGAGGTTGCGTGACAGTGTACATCATTACCTCTTACTTGTGTAACATGGCGACTGCACGGTCAACGATTCTTTCCTTTGCTCTCGGTCTTGTTTTTGGGGTTTTTGTCGTTTCTGTTCTAAATCGGTTCAATCAGAAGGAGGCTCTGCAACAATTTTTTGTTCCAGAAAAGGTCCATGAAGGAGATATTACACATAAAATGATATATAGAGGACGGAACTTCAAAGTCGATTCACCAGTGGATTTTAATGTCGATGCGAAAGACCATCATCACCATCTGTCTTTGAATAAGGAGGCTCTTGAGGAGCTAAAGAAGATTAGGATTTTGTGCTGGGTGATGACGAGCCCTTCAACGCTGCACGTCAAAGGCAAACCAGTGAAGGAAACATGGGGGAAGCGGTGCAATATTCTTTTGTTTATGAGTTCAGAAGCGGACCCAAAGTTTCCCGCGATCGGACTCGATGTTCAAGAGGGACGCGAGAACTTGTGGTCGAAAACCCGAGCTGCTTGGGATTATGTTTATACTCATCACCTTAACGATGCTGACTGGTTTATTAAAGCAGACGACGATACGTATGTTATCATCGAAAATCTCCGACATTTTGTATCGAAAAGGAATCCTGACGAACCGTATTTCCTTGGAAGACACTTTAAGACATTCGGTGGGTACAACAGCGGCGGAGCTGGATATGTATTCAGTCGGGAAACAGTTCGTAGATTCAAGAAAGCATTAGGAGATACTTCCATTTGTTCAACTACAAGCTTTGCCGAAGATGTGGAAGTTGGAAAATGTCTCAATGCCGTTGGAGTGAAACCCGATCAAACAAGAGATTCCAGTGGAAGAGAGACGTTTATGCCGCTCCCCCCAGAACACCACTTGATTCCTGGATATTTACCTAAAGATTTTTGGTTATGGTCGTATGATCGCAATCCAACTAAAGAAGGACCTGAGTGTTGTTCAGATCATGCCATCACTTTTCATTACATTAATCCAAACAATATGTATGTGATGGAGTACATGGTTTACCATCTTAGGCCTTATGGTATGGTTCATGATGATCATGCTTCTGCTGAGGGTTCTGGATAAGCAAAACGAAAATAAACGATCTGGTTGTCGGTAAAGTTAAAAATGAGACGCTGTCAAACCTGTATTAAGCAGCACAGTATTAACATTTTAACTCTCAAAAGTAATTGATATGTAACATCTCCTGAAAATGTCCACATAATTATTATCCAGCAAACACGCAGGTAGAGGTTGGTATCATGATCACACACCAAATTCTTGTTACTAATTCACAAGGAAATGTGTAGCAGCTAGAGGAGAGAATTGACAGTCAGATCTTGAGTGCTGAGGGTTAAGTAAGCGGTCAGTTTTCAAAGACCCAGTATAATATCCTCGTAATTACTTTAATTTTCACCTCTAGGGATCACCTCTACCTGTTTGAATGGCCACTGACAGAGAACCACACATCAAGTGGGTGACTGCTTAATACAGGTTTGACTCTTAATTTCAAAATATACATAATATATGGATTTAGCCAAGCCTTAAAGCGGAGCTCCCAAGTTTGTAATATTAATGATAACAAAAAAGATATGCATTTGCCACGACTCGCCTGAGACACCCCTCCTTTCATTTTGATAGTCTCCCCTACCCTACCCGTGCAATCTGAAGGCACGTAAGTACATACACTCAGTCAGTCACATGACAACCAAACGAAAAGAGGTTGACCGTATTCCATGGGTATGGGGCTCTGCCCCATGTGCGCTTTGCTCACATGGGAGCCCCACTATGATAAATTGATGAGGAGTTTTATCCTTGAAGAGCTCAGTGTGGTTCCATTTATCATTAGTTTTAAATTTTACTTCAATTAGAGTCTATACATAATACTTGATTACAATGAGTTGAGGGCAAAGATATGTAGAATTAAAGCTGAGGATAAAAATACACCACAACAGATATAACTTGTGACTAGGGATTCATTTTTCCTCTCTGATAGTTTGCAAGGTAATTATGAGTTGCTCCCCTTCTTATGTCAATTAATTTAAGTTAAAATAATTATTTGATAGTTACTGTAAAAAAATGGACACACTCAGATTGGTATACCATATCTTTTTATTATCATTCCAAAAGAGGTAACTGTCCTACTGAATTCAAAATGACTGCTGCACAACTATTTTGATGTTTCTGAAGATGAAAATGAAAGAAATTTTCTTTGTTTGATATTGTTGCACTTCAGCAAATATTTAGAAATAATATTTGACATTATTGAACAATATTCTCTCTACCCTCGGAGGATAATTATTATCATGTAGAAGTTTCACATTGCAGATCATACAATAAAAAAACACTATGTAAATTAAAGAGAATGTTTGACGGGCCAAAAGTGTATTATTGACATTCGTGCAGACAATCTATAATTATTCCCTTTTCTTTCTTTTGTTGCAAAAGGGACATTCAAACTGCTTTAATTCTAGTATCACAGGGGTTGGTTTTAGCAATTTGAATAATTTCGGTGGACATATTTGCTAGTGGTTCATTTAACAGAGTCAGCATCCTCAATGTTCATTGGTCCAATTAACAAACATCTAGCATGAATGGATTTATTTTTCCGTAAAAAATCATTGAAAATAGTTGAACTTCAGGTTTTGTATATTAAATGCATGTTGATGGTGAGTAAGAATTAGCTAAAAGCACCCAATTATTAAGCAGCATTTGGAAGTATCAGCTATGGAAGAAACTTTGTGCAAGGGTAGTCACAGTTTTCTTACAGAGAAAGTGATGTGCAACTATGGACTTTTTTATGAAGTCAACACTGATGCTGTATCTTGCTGGAATCATGTAAAGATATTTTCCATTTGGTTACTAACTCAAAGATGTAGTAACTTTTGTATTTAGTAACATATATTAAATATGTCAAAACACTGGTTCAGTCAAAGGGTGGCATAATATACAGTGGCCCAGAAGGCTCAACGCAAACAAAAAATATACTGCAGCAAATAAAAAAATCAAAACGCAAAGAAAAAAAGTACTGCAGCAAATAAAAAAAATGCAACGCAAACAAAAAATACTGCAGCAAATAAAATATGCAACGCAAACAAAAAAAACTGGAACACAATGCCAAGGAAGACTGGGTAATAGTTCTTAGTTTCCCGCCAAAACAGCATGAACTGGAACTCGCTTTTGGTTATGGACGAAAGCAATCTGCGTAGGATTATAGAATATTACTTTCATCAAGGGTATGAAAATAGAGTTATTATCGAATTTTTAAGGGAGCAGCATGGAACTGTAATAAGTTCGCTGCAAAACATGGTTTCGGAAAGGCGAACAAGCAAACAATGGAACGAGTGTTGGCGGGAAACTAAGAACTATTACCCAGTCTTCCTTTGCGTTGCGTTCCAATTGTTTTGCTTGCGTTTTCTTTTTTTTTTTGTTTGCGTTGCATATTTTATTTGCTGCAGTATTTTTTGTTTGCGATGCATTTTTTATTTGCTGTGGTACTTTTTTTCTTTGCGTTTGATTTTTTTATTTGCTGCAGTATAGTTTTTAGTTGCTGCAGTATTTTTTTTATTTGCTGCAGTATATTTTTTATTTGCTGCAGTATATTTTTTGTTTGCGTTGAGCCTTCTGGGCCACCGTAATAATATAACAGCTTGGATCATTTAAAAGAAAAATTTACATAAATTAGCTGAAGGAGTTTTGTAGATGGAACCATTCATTGCTTATCAGAGCATTGTAGAGAACCTACACGGACTTGTTTTTCACCTACATAAAGCAAAAGATTTCATACACCAGTTAACAAATATATGCCATCCACTATTCTAGGTTGTCTTAAACATCACCTATGCTATTTCTTTATGTGATTGTAGAAAATATTCACAGAGTCCAGCTAACATTATCATCCCAAATTGTCTTGTAATATCCAGAACGTTCAGTAGAAGTTCTCAAGAGTTCTGGGGTGAAAAAGTGTAACTTGTTGAAGATGAGTGTAACTTCAACAAAATGGGAGTTGTTAGTAGAATCCAGTTAGACCTTAAGTGATGATAAACCTGTGTAGAAAGGTCACGGATATTTATCGAAGGTTGTTGAACACTCAGTTCTCCCATACATGTATCTTTTTTCATTTCAGAAGATATCATTTTAATTCTAATTTCATGTCAACTTCAGCTGTCTTGTTTTAGGCAGCATTTAGTGGTTGTAATGGCTAAATTTGTTTTTGTTTTCAAAATGGTGTTCCTTTTGCAATGAGAAAGTTCTCTGTACTTTGTCTTAAAATATGTACACAATCTAATCCAGCCAATGACTGATGCTCCGTAAAGCTCTTCTTTGCTCAAGGTTTTAATTAAAATATTTGGCAAATTAATGTACATTACAGTTAAAGAAAACAGAAAAATATAAACAACTTTACTGTTTGAAATTTGAATATAGCATTGAAAGCTTTCATCCTTAAAGTGTTTCCGTTAATCTTCTCCTGTTGGAGTACGTTCTCCAATTATATTTACTTGAATGGACACACTTACAAGGGTTAATAAATGACTTGGGCCAACCATTGTACGTCTTTAGTTTCCTTCTACTCGCTAATATACTGAGCTTTGTGGGACAAACTGCACAATTATTTGCCAATATGGCCATATTTGACCATCATAAGTTGGTTAAATATGGCCATATTTGACCATCATAAGTTGGTTATGTTCCATTTCATCATTCGAGGTTTTAAATATTTCAAAATACGGTTTAAAATTTGCCGTTTGATTTTAGTTTTTTGTTCCTTTCATTTCAAAGAAAGATCAAGGAAACCGGTCTGAAGCGCGGGAAAACCTGCGCAAGTGACCAGGTCGCAACAAGGTTGCGAGAAGGTTAGTTTTTCATTTGATTTGTTTAGATAATAGCGCCAGTTACCCTGATCAGTCTGATCAATGACAGCGCGATGTCAAGCGAATCCACCCTTAGAAAATCGTCTAACAATCAATTAAAAACTTCTACTTTTTCTTTGGATAAAACTGGACCGGGCTTTCACTCGACTAATCGAGGGTCTGTACCAAGTTCTGGGACTTTTCAAAGTTTCACTTACATTTTTGTTTCAGTCTTGGTTTTGCTTACTTTCATTTTGCTATCACCTCAACAATAAGTGAGGGAAGAGAAAAACGCAAAAAGTATTCACTCACTGAAATGCACACTAACGCTTTCAGCGAAGGCAAAGTTTTATTCCGTATTTCATAACATAAACAGCAGAAAAGTAGTAAGAAAAACTCTGTCAAACCAGCCGAATTATTTATGAAAGATATTTTTCATGAATGTATATTAAAAAATATACATAGATGAATAGTTTTTTCGAATTTCTGGAGGTATGCATGTTCTTGTTCCTTAAATGGTCGCGAGACCCCATCCTCAGCCTCGACGGCCACCCAAGATGTGAACTCTTGTAACGGGACGTCTTTTCCAAAGTTAGTGAATTAACCGTACAGAATTAATAAGTTCCTATGTGTGTCCAAGGATCATCTCTAATCCATGTTTCTACAGTAACACTAAAACTATTTTAATTGTGACGTCGAGGAAGTTATGACTTCCTTTGTTGCGGGTCAGTGATCAACAATACTTAGGTTTCATATTAACAAAAATACTTATAGCTGTCCTTGTCTGAGCAGGGCAACTAGATTGCAATATGGCTGATTCAAATGCTATAGGTTTTCTGCTGTTCTGTACATTAATTTGTACATTTTGCGAAACACCGGAGGTAAAAGCACAGAACTCAACCACATGTAAGTAAAATCAAGTATTTTTTTTACGCGAAACAATGAGACAGAGACGGCACCACTCCACACATCCACGTAGTTGAACCTTTCTAGTTTTAAACGAGGTTTTGTCAATTTACGAGCCCCTTTTAAGCGGCACGAGACACAAATTCGTAAAAGCTGCCTAATGCTGAGGCTCCTATCTGGTGTTAAGAAAGAAAAGTTGTTGTAGATGTAGTTGTATATCGTGTCGAACACAATATTTCACTGATTTCCGGGTGGTACACGAGTCGATTGATTAAGGTAGCAGTTGTCACGGATACGCGCACATTTCAGCACTTCTGTTGTGCAATTTTCGTTGTGCTACTTGCTTGAGAATTTGCATCACCTTTAACTATTAGACATGTCTGAATTACCTAACGAAGCTATTAGAAGCTAATTATGAGCAAGACTTTGATGTTGATGCGAGATGTGTGTGCAAACAGACCACGGATCTTGTTTGAATGCAAACAAACACTTGAACGAAGAATGTTTAGATCGAGTAGTATGGCCTCTTAGATCGTAACATTTTTTCCTCCTATGTATTTCGATTCTCGTTTCCTTGTAGTTTGATCGATTACCTAAAAAAACTGTGCTTGTTATGTCTAAAGTTATGTTTTAAATCGTTCGACCATTTAATTGACTTGCTCTGAGTAACTGGCTCGCTCTCGCAAAAAGATACTGCTTGATCATGAATAACCTGTGGTGTTCGGAAAGAATACTCAGTTTCGTATTTAATTTTTTCTGTTTTAGCTGTACTTCCCAGTCCAGTCTGGAGCACAATTCAAAATTCAGGTACGTCTTTGTATGAGCCAGAAAACGAGTCGTCGGGTCTGACGCGGAGAAGTCAGGTTTGAAAGCCGTCACGGTATACTGCACTCGCTGTCTCTTATGAATTATTAATCCAATCACGATCAATAATTGTGCTTACTGAATTGGAACCTTGTAGATTTTATTTCTGGTTACAAGTTTTGCATTGCTGTATTTTAGATCTCTAAGGTTCGAAGACAGAATGCATTTCCGAAAGCCCTAAATACTAACCTGGCACCAATGAACTTTATTCGGCTACATGATTATAATCCAATCACGATTAAGATAAAAAATACCTAAAGGATTCACGAAGTTCGCCTTTTTTTTTAAGCAAGAATTTTAACTTACATTTTAAGGCGTAGTAAGTTGTGTTAGTAGACTGTGAATACGTATCTTCCTGAAGTAACGTCCTCTTGTTTTCGAACTAGTAGCATGTGGAACAGATCGAAAACTTGGACACCAGGTCATCACCTTAGCATTGCAGAATTTTAAGAATCCACTGAATGCTCCCACGCACACATATCTTGTGGCAAACCTCATCGTGTACCTGCTAAAAAATTCCTATGCCGGATAAAAATGGTAACCACAGGTGGAAAATTGGAAAAAAAAATTTTTTTCTGTTACCAAAATCGGGCACAAAATATAGCATTATGGTACCTAAGGCTCATTGTACCTTGAGGTGGTTAAAATTTAGTGATTTGAAAGTTCTAGTCCTAAGTTCTCCTTCGAATTCCTACGTTTTATATAAGAGTTGAGCCCCGGCGGGCCGAGGTTCCGCGCATTTTAAACGTTTATATGTGGCGCGGATGGGTACTGTTCAGGGGTTGGTCTATGACCGGACTATCACTAAGGATCTCAGGTTCGAGGTACAGGTAGAATTTGGCACAAGGGGTTACTTCCATCATGATCGATGGAATTTGTTTTTTTACTGCTGCTTTACTGCTGAAAGTTATCACTTTAACTAGACAATGAGGTGGTTAATACATACTACACCCCCTCTTTAACAACACCCTATACTGATAAGAGAAGAATAAGAGCAAATTGAGTCAAGGAAATTAATAATCCAACTAAATTGAAGGATGTACAAGATAAACGTGTTAAAAATTGGCAGTTGGTCGGTTCAAAGAATTTACTCAAATGTGATTATGATATTATCTACCAAGAGATCAGTTTGTTATAACATAAGGGGCAAAATTACTGAATTGTGATTGGTCAAGACAGAGGGCATTTTTT